CAGCATGTAAAACCAGCAGGGCATCCCAGAAACACACTGCATGTCCCCTCTTATGTTGTTTCCCTGTCCAAATGGTAGAAATCAGAACAAAGGCAAACAAAAGACACCGGGGCAGAATGACTTCTCCATTGCTTGTCAGGCTTTCTTCCTTTTTTTTCTTGGAAGCAAAACATGACTGTAGCTCTGTGAGTAGCTCATCTGCATTACAAATCCATATCTTTCACCTGGAAGGAAACAATTTAGACTTGCTTAGAGTAACTAAATTTAAGGGTTCGTCCTTGATTTCACTAGTCAGTACCACCTCCGTCCTTTATGGAACTGTCAAGTAGGAACACTAGACTCATTTGTAGCTTGTTGGCAATCTCTCTGTGCTCTTGTTGTCTGCTTTCAACTGTGCTTATCACTTGGAGATCTTCGCCGTTATTTGGCCAACAAAGACCGGGTTTCCACAGTACAACAGTATCTTTCTTTCTTTGTCTGTTATCACATAGAATGGAGTATCTTTGTCCTTGTAATCATGACAAGACAGCAAAGAAGTTTTCTTTTCTGTTAATTGGGGTGGGGGTGTTCAGACAGTATTGTAAATTTAGAGAGAAAAAAAATGGGATAGTTGATAAAGTTGTTTCTAGTTTTAGCGGTTCTTTGCAATGTTTGTCTCCCTGCCACTTGCCAAAAAAGGTCAAAGTTCAACTTGGAAGAGTCCTGCAAGCTTTTGGGGGAAAAGTATTTTGAACATGACCTTTTTTTCGGGCAGGAAAAAGTAAGAGTTCATCATTTGCAGCTATCCAAAAAGTAACTGGCGTAATTATTGTTAAAAAACATACTTGGTAGAAAGATAGTAAGGGGACTAAACTCCCTGTGAAATTTTTCTTTCTGGCAAGCTGTCATTTTGAAGAAATTAAGGAAAGAAGGCCTTTTCACGCACCGTTGGAAATTTCGGTTAGTAGTTCGTTTTCTAAGTTTGGTGAATCGCGCGCAAGCGTTGGCACGACATCACGTAGCCGTAATCGGCTCAGTGAGAACGTGTCTCGGACGCTGAATTCAGGCCCAATTCAAAACATGATTCAGCAACTTTTGATTTGAAATCGAGATCCTAGAATGCTGTTTTTCTTGGAATATACAGCTGAAGCATGTTTGTTGCTTCAAACGAAAAAAATGCACAAATTACAAATGAGGGACTGCATTGTACCTTTAACTTGGCCCATAAGCTACATGCACCGGTATCTGTAGGAATAGAAAGTGTCTATTCCTATTAACTCTGCCCCTTATCACCCATCTGATCCTGTCACTGTATGATACGAGTTTCCCAAAACTCTTTCTGCATTTAATACATTAATGGAAGTCTCATGACAAGCCAACATGTACTCCGGTGACCCCCGGTTCATGGACCCTGTAGACACATCTAGAACGCAATTGTCACCAGAACTAAATCCACCCTAATCCTTTTAATGCCCGATTCGGGCCCTCTAGAAATTCCAAAATTCCAGACCCGTGGGGCCTTTCCTTTTAACAATTTTCTGTTTAATATTAAAGGCATGTTGAAGCTCAATAGTATGTGTTGATCATTCAAAATATATACGTGTACCATATTTGTCATTGTAAATAGCAATTTGTATTTATTTTTTTTAAATTGATTTTTTTTCAGGGGGTACATGCAAACTACATTGCAATTTCTGTTCTCAGGTAAAAATAGAGTGTTCAGAGATTGAGAAATATATGCAACTTGATGTTTTGATATTACATGTAGTTACTCATAGCAGTCATACATGTGTAGCGTATCAAGACATATCCTGTTGCCTTTTACTTGGCCTGCTATTGATGGTTGTATTACTTCTATTGATATTTAAACTGTATTTCCCCAAAGAAGAGTAGTCATGAACTGTGTTATATTTAGATTGTTGTCCTTGGTTGTCTTTTACTCTTTTTTTTTGTGATAAGTTCTGGAAAGACTTTCCGGCAAGGCTGAATCAGGGATTACTGTTAAGCTCATCAAGTGGAGCCCTAAAGTGTGACAGGTTCGGAGAAGTTGATAGTCCATTTCTGTTTAATAGCTGTAATTATCCATTTGTTGTTAAATCTCGTAATAGCAAGGTTGTCAGAACATTGATGCGTGTTGTTTCTGGAGAGTTATTGAATCTGTTTTGTGGAAAGGTTGTGTTTTGACAGCCTTTGCTGCAGAAAGTGAATGTATGTTAAAGAGTGGTCCTTTTACTGGTGTGAACTGCTTTTTCTCCAATTGTTGGAAAGTTGGCAATCATCCATTTTGACTTTTGAGAAGTTATGGTAGTTTTATAGGCAAAGTAAATGGATGTCTATAGTCCAAGTTACATGTGTTAAGTTTACATAAATACATTTTAACATTACCAATTTCAGTGTTACATACTGGTATGTACACAACCTTTGTTATTCAAGTAATGTGGCACACGTGCAAAGTTTCGGCAAAACAAATTTGTTCAGGTGCCATTGCCATACATAGTTTTAGGAAGAGATACAGTTTGTTTGTTAGTAAACAAAGATTAAGTACAGTTTGTCAACACTGATATGCTCATCAAATCCAGGAAATGCATATCGAGATGGCATTGAGATTTAAGATATCTAGAACACATTTCTGAGGGTATTAACGGCAGAATTCTGGTCAGATTGGCGTATTGCTTGTGCAGTTTCCCTGTGGCATAGCTCACTGGACAGGAACAGTGTGAAGACAATTATGTTGCACATTCATGCAGTACACAAATGTTACCAGACATTAGGCCCATTCACACTTGGGTCTATAAACATGTACCGGTCGATACCCCTTTCACACTAGCAAGTATCCAAAATGGCTTGGTCAGATGCTCTACATGGGTAAAATTCAACCCTGGTGACCAGGGTTGAGAAGCTCTCTCTACCCTGGGCAGAAAATCCAAAATCCACAGCCGACCCATGTACAAACAGTAGTGAGTCGTCGTGTGCCTGGCAGAAGGGCATATGTGCACATGCCCTTATGCAATAGTGCGTAATGACCAAAATGTTCCCAGCAAAAGGGCATATGCAGAAAACTGCCTCCATTTTAATGAAAGTTAAACATTTTCATCATAATGCGTGCGGGGGAATATTGGAACCTTTCAGTGCAATTTTCTTGAAAATGATTTTTGCGTCAGAATGTTCATATGCTCTTCTGCTGGGCACCCGACAAAGTGTGAATGGTAGTCTTGCCTTCTGGCAGAGTTCAATCGGACCCGGTTCCACTTTAAATGTAAATTATGGACTCGTGTCGGGGTAGGGGAAAGGATAAGTACTGTTAAGAGGTGTATTTCTGAAGGGAAATCAAGTTGAAGTTAGGCACTTATGAATGGATCATTCATCACATAGATGTGTTCAATGCATATTTGATGTTGTACAGCATTAAATGGTAATCCTCACATTTTCTGGCTGCATTAGTTAAAAGCTTTGAGACATCAAGATTACTCACTTGATATCCCTAATGGCTGTTGGTTTTTTTTGTCAGAAGTGCTTCCAAGTGTTTTTGTGCAGATGAATATCATTGAAATGTTGTTCATGTACAGGTAGCTGATGTTGACGATTTATTTCCAGCTCAGTCATGTACAGCAGATTTTAACACAATACAATGATTCATCTGTGGGTCATGTGAAAACTTGTACGCTTCAGAGATTGGAATGAATTTGATCCAATGTTGCTTGTCACCCTCCTATGGTTGCCGGAGCTGTTTAATATCCCCCAGACTTTAAGCAGTTTATGATCATGTACCGATAGTTGATATCAGTGTCAGCTGTCAAACGCCATTTGGTGCAACTTCGGTAGATCCGTATTAATGCCAAGTCATCCAGTTGCACTGCCCCAATCCCCAGATAGCTTTTGAATGTTGAATTCTTTATTTATTTATTTTAGCTTTCTCCCAGGTTATTTCTCAAAGTGTAATACATGTGTATATATTTTAAGAAAGACTCTCTTTACTTAGAGAAGGGGTGTGGACCTGTGGTTAGGGTTCCTGACTCATGGGCAGAGGGTCAGGGGTTCGAATCTTTCTGCTGGCCTTAAGCTGTGTCCTCTGACAAGCCATTTTACCCCTACTTGTTTCTCCACCCAGGAGTATAACTTTATGAATATGGGTATTAGCTGGGGAGTAACTTGTGATGGGCTGACATCCCATCCAAGGGGAATTGATATATATTCTCAGTCATTTCATGCTACATTAAGTGGAAAAAAACGCTGGCCTGATGAGCCATAATGACTCTGAACAGACTTGACTTTTACTCTGCCATGCAGCCCTGTCAAGTTGTCTTGAAAGAAAATTACCTGAGGTACGCATGTTCAATGTGAACCTTAGTATAGAGACATCAGTTTAGTTGAAGCCGTTTTGCAATCAATCACTTTGCAGGGTCTGTATTATGGTAGAACCCCCAGTGAGGAAATGTTCGCTCTGGTTCTGGGTCTGTTTGGAGGTTACCTTTTCCTCCAGGAAATGAGAGCAGGGCCAGCGGGTTCCCTAGGCGAAATTATTCCTGACATTTTGTCAAACTCATTTCCTCCCTAGGGCCGCACAGGAGCCCAGATTCTAACCCAGCAAATAAAAGTTCAGAGCCCAGGACCATATTTCCCCCATTTTCTGTGGGACTGTTTTTCCCTTGCAGTCTTTGAAAGCCTTAGGTGCCGTGGTCGCTCATTACCGGTGGTCGCTCTGTACCGGTTGCATGTTATCCCCATCCAGTGCAGTCAGGGATAAACCAATGTCTTGTATCGTCCTATTCAGTGGATGTCTTGAGCCCCTGCCAAGTTCTGCTTACAATCGGCGAGACCTTCCCGGGGACTCTGATGCGGAAAAATCTTGGAAAAGCTCTCTTGTGCAAATGACCCCCCTCGTATGCCGGGATTGTTTCCTGCCATTGTTAATAGGTTAAGTCTGCTGGGTTGCTTCCTCAGAATCATGTAATCCGGCCACTGTTGCATTTTCCATTGGGGCATATCGGATGATACCTGTCTGAGGAGAGTGTGAGAAAAAAATGCAGTTTAAAAAAACAGACATAACCTGTGAAAGTGGAGTGAAGTACTGTTAAGAAGAATGGTTATGACATTGTCGGCTTGTTTCATTTGCTGCCCACAGGATATCAAGCTACACATCATGCAGACGCTTCTAGAGACGGAACAGAGCTACGTCCACTCCTTGGAAACCCTCGTCAAGGTAAGCCATTTCTCTGTGTCTTTCCTCTTCCTGTTGTTGATGTTGTTTGTTAAGCGCCGCCCTTTGTTGTGGAGTAGGGGGACAACAGGTCGACCAGACGCCAGTAACTCCCACTCAGTGCAGATTCAATTAAGAAGCGACGTTGGCTTCGCATGAATGAGATAAGAGAGATGTTGGTGGGTAACAGGAAGTCACATACATGTACAAATTACATCTGAAAGTATAATTTTCATTGACTGAGCTTTATCTCAATTTGATTATGACCCAAAATATCTTTGAAAGTAAATATCATCGCTCCACTGCTGTGAGGGAAATGTCAGTGTTAGATGTGGGTGGAAAAACCCGTAGAGAGTAACTTTTGAAGGAAGCTCACGTAATCAAACAGGAACTGGCAAATTCTCTGCAGCTGGTGCACCAGGTGGGATTCAGCAAAGTCAGGAGAGGTGGAATTAAGGCAAGGACAGTTTTCCATATCACCAACATGGCTGCCAACCAGTGTATAATTTAGCATGTCATTAAAAAATAATATCTATAGGTGAAACAGAATTTGAATTTTGAAGATATTTATTAGGTGCAAAGTTGCTGTTGAGCTTTGTGTGTGGTTCTGCGAGGGAGTCTTTCAGCTAGGTTAACCAAACGTCTTGACGTCAACAGATTTAGTTTCATCTTGACATTAGCTGTTGCCGTAACACATTCGCTTAATGTAAAAGTAGCTCTGTAAGAACCTAAGACCCACAAAAACACCTTAGAAAAACAGACTTTCATCTAACAAATAGATCAAGTATAAGCCGTCAAGTGCTTGATAGTGCCAGCAAATTTCCTCCCATTAGAGAAAAATACGCCCACCTGTTTATAAGAATATTGGCTTCCGTGCTTGCTGTGGGCAGAGCCTATCATCCCTATACTGCCCGAAGCTGGGTGATCATTCAATGGTTTGATGATACTTCAGTTTATAAATACAATGTACATCAATTAGTATAGGTGCTAATAGGTTGAGAAGTGCGTACCGTACATTTAGTTGCAACCAAGAAAACGTGGTTGCATGTGTATCATTTCGGCTTGCTTGAGGCGACTGCGTTTATTGGGTTCTACAGACTCCTGCTTAAGTACATGTATGTATCACCTCAACAGTCTCTTGAATGCATCGCCAACATTATAGAATTGCGATACATGTAGAACATGTAGACATGTACAGTGTAGCATTGTGGTTGTTGGGATTTCTTTATGGGCCTTATTCACGAGTTGGCCATTTTTGTCGAGTTCCCTGAATTTCATTAAGTTTTAACTGTTGAATGGGATGGCGCCAGACTATTTTTGCAGGCACAATGCAGCCTTATTTGACTGTATTTTTTTTTAATCTTGCTGTTATTATTAAGGAATGTTTAATTACAAAGAATGCTAACTTGGCACATTAATAATATTTATTCGTTAAAACTCTATTTCCATATTCTAGGATGGATTCTAAACTGGCTGTTGGGCATATCGGCTGTCTTTGAGTGTCTGAAATCACCTTAAAACAAGCCTAGAAAGCATTTTTAAAAATAAAACAATTAATTTTTTCCCTTATTTTTTTCCATATATTTTGCATCCGGATATCCGAATTTGGAAAAAAATATTCGAATATTAGATAATCGATCGAATATTCGGATATTCGGCACAGCCCTAATTACAAATTTGAAATTATTCATCGAAGCAGACTGAAATTAAATTGCTTTCATTTCCCTCCACAAGGTTCAAAAATTAAGATTTTTACCTCACTTTCAATTCAATATGGCCGACTGGTGAATAAGGCCCATTCTGGTACTTGGATTCCTACATTGTTTGGATAATACTCTCTTTTATCCAGGGGAAAACCTACATGTATCAACATTAAAATATACTACAGGCCAGTCTCTACTCTCCTTCAGTTGCAATTAGGCCCTGACCCAAGTCTACATCAAATCCCGTTTTCAACTTTGCCCCTCCATTGAGAACTTTAAGCTGTCTCTTCTGGACATGTCATTTAGGTGGAGCATGGCTGGGGGAACCAGGGCAGCGTGTGTGGATCCTTTCAGCCTGCCCGAAGAACACCGGTCATTTGTCAGAGGGGTTTAAGGAGAGACATGGGGGGCTTAGGGGTCCAGATTGACTGGATCAGGAAGGCATTAGGACCCTGACTATTAGGGAAAGGCGAACCTTGAGGACAGGATTTACTTTATGGAAGAATAATTTAATAGAGTCCTGCTAGATACGGTAGCCTACCAACTGTGGAAATATACATTGGTACATGTATGGTGAGAAAGTGTGGTTTGCAGTTCTTGTTCACACATTTCTCTAAAACCAGCATTTTGTAAATTGATCTTGTTTGTGCTTGGCAGAAATCTTTTTAAAAATCATTTTCACTGTTAACCTAGCTCAATGGTCATTGGGTGCTAAAAAAAATGAAGCCCTTGCACACGATAAAAAATTGGAGTAGGACCTGAGTTGCACCCTGAGATTTCAGGAACCCCTTTCACACTAGCAGGAATCCAACACGGCTTCTACACGGGAACAGTGCTCCACATACATGTAGGCACAATTCAGCCCTGGTCGGAACCAGGGTTAAAATCACTCTTCCCAGGTAGAAAAATCCAAAATCTACGCCTGACCTGTGGATGCACCAGTATAAGTGAGAACAGTGTGCCTTACTGACCCATGTTAGATCGGAACTGGTTCCGCTCATGATAGCCCCATGTTGATTTCAACATGGATAAGTGACCAGTAGTGTTAAGAGGCCTGTAGTTAACTCTTTTATTGTACACTTGAATGACAAAGAATCGATTTGAGATTGAAAGGTCAAAACAGAAAAGTAAATTTCAGCCAGCCATTTTTTTATCTGCCCGCCTCGCCCCCCAAAATAAATGACTGCTTTGGAGCCTGTCTAGTCAGACAAGAAGATAACACCAACACCACTGGAGCCCTGGTATAGCAAGTGTTTGCATAACCGTGGATGACCCCGCCAACACCCCCCCCCCCCCCCCAAACTCTTCTCCTTGCAGTCACCAAATAGAAATATTTTGGCACCACATCAAATATTTTATGAAGATTAATATGGCTCCTTATTGGAGTATCTGTATAGACTTTGGGGGTTTCATGATAGCACCAATAAAAGTTTAGATTTATCCAACCTTGCTACAATGTATGTGGTTTCTTAAAGGCTTAATTTTGGAATTTCTGATTAGAAACACGATGTCCTGTGGTTGTCGTCGTGAAGGCATTTGGGGCTTGGAGTTTGCGCGCCGCCGCATTGAGTAGCTTCAAGTGTGATGAACTGTGCATGTGTCAGCATGTCTCGCTGTATGGTGGCAGTCTTTTATTGTGTTGTTAATGGGTCTTCTGGCTAGACAAGTCATATTTTGGGGGATATTATACTTCAGTTTGAAGAGCTGGACGTCTGTCTGAGGGTCGACCGTCGACCTGATTAATGCATTGATTATCTCTGCGATGGGGTCAATCTTGTGTCAGTACCTGATGGATCAGGTGCTGTATTCACAATAGCTGTTTGGTATTTTATTGATAAAAGAGATTAAAGAAATTGGGATGTTTGGTAAACAAACAAAAAAGCTGTGACCAACAATGTCAGAGTTCAAAAGATTGCAAAGTATATTTTATTCAAAAGCTGCATCTTCGGATTGCTGATGTCCCAATAAGAAAAAGACTTTTGAAATGCTATATCAAGGGCTTTATATACATACCCACAATTTTGCTAGATTTGCTCATATTCAGAATTAGTTTCTTGAGAAAGTAAATTGAAAAAGTAACATTTGGTGAGCAAATTAAGACAAATACAGGACTTGAAATGTACCGCAGGTTGAGTTTATACACTCGTATCTTGTGATATTTCTTTTTGGGGTGGGGGTGGGGGTGTTTCAATGAAAATAACCAATCCATGTTATGATGGCTCATCTTCAGACTATAAAGCAACACCCCGGCTCATAATGGGCACAAGCCAGCGATGTTGAACGACTGTGGGCATACATTAAAATCCGAGGTGTTAGGCGTAAAAATGTCATCAATGGATAATGGATGAAGTGTTCCTTGGTCGTCCTGCGCGGGGCACCGGGGAACATTAGGGACCGCTCTGTAAACATCGACCGAAACGCTGAGTGCATTTCGGCACAAGAAACCTGCAGGGAGAAACGTGGGTCTCAAATAAGGAACCTGCTTTCCTGGACACCGGTTCAGGCATTTGTTTAGTTAAAGGTACGGGCACCGCGCTTGCATTTTGAAAATTCCAAAATGGCACGCTTGGCTTCAGGTACATTTATCACTGTGATGAATGTTAAGGGTCGTGGCATCGTACTTTGGAGGCCAATGTTGTTCCGACTGGCTGGTTTTAAACACTTTTCCGGTGTCACATGAAATTTGGACTCCTCTGAAATCCGGTCCCTTTTTCTCTTTTATTGGTTGAACGTTCACAATCTTCACTTAGGCATGCGCAATACTACCAGTGAGTCCGTATTTCATAGAGTCCTCAATTCAGACTACACCAGCACCACTGCGTTCTGTGCCACATCATGCAGTACGCGCCACGCGCTTGCCAATCTCCTGTATATATAAGGAGATTTGTTAGTATTTCTCGCGAGAGGCACATGCCATAAACATAGCTAGAGGGGTTGAAATTTATACATTTGACTTGTTTTGACTTTTTAATCGAAAGGTATTTATGAATGGGAATAAATGTGTGATTGGCCGGTATTAAGCAAGAACGTTTAAAACCGGCTTGGGCCTGGTTGCCGATAATGTCCCTCGCCTTCAGTTCGGGCCATTATCATTATCAGCATCCAGGGCCCAAGCCAGCTTTAAACGAGTTTGTTTAAAATCGGCCAAGCACATATTGATTCCCGTATATTAATAAAAGGGAACATTTCTCACCTTCAAGAATTCCCCTTCCTGGAAGGCACTATATGTAAGCTCCCTTTCCCCTTCCTAGTCATGTTAGAACCACCCACCCTACATGCCAAATGTCGCCGATGGAACAATCCACCCACCTTAGATTAAGTCGCGGATTGTGTCTATCCACAGGTACCTTTTTGAGGTTTTACTTTAGCTATTTATAACCATTGGACAAATCCAGCGTCATGGACATTACAAATCAGACTTTTTGTTTTCTACTTTAATTTAAGAGCTCAGTGAATAAACCTGAAAATGGTTTTTCTTCAAATCGTATACATCCATCATCTAGTTTTGTCAAAGAGATTAAAGACAAGGAGTTTTTGAATATTTTTTGAATCATTAATTTGATATCATGGTTTGGCTCTGTCACCACTTTACATTTTCTTTTGTAATGTTGGAATTGCCCCACTCTCAAATTCATTCTCTGTCTTGGAATCATCAATTTAGTGAACAGATCCAAAGAAACAAGCAGAGTAAGTGCATATTTTTAAACACTGGCCGCTTACTCCACTACAAATAATTATTGAACATGTACATGTACGTACACGAAGGATGCATTCACTTTTTGGTTCATTTTGACATGCATCCCCTGGGTTGCATTGCAGGTAACAGACCAGTGCTCAGGAACCACAATCCTGATGGTGTCATTTTTTTTTCTCACATTGCAATATCCGCGCCAGCATCTCCCCACCCACCTATTCTGCACTTGTATCTTCTTTGCAAACAGGTTGTTTGCGTCTTATTTTCATTGATCTGTTCACCCGAGCCCACTAAACAAATTGACTGAAATGTACATATGCTACTCATTCTTCTGTCTCCTGTTGTTAAAAAAAAATAGCTTTTGCCAAAACATGAAAACAGTTTAAAGGGTCAACTTTGAATAGCAACGTCTTGCCACAGTGGGTTGACATTTGCCCAAATCTGGACACTTCATCACCCGTTGCACCAATTAAGATTCCCAGTCTTTCAACGTTGGAGTTCAGTGTCGTCTTTCAGCGGGGGTTCTTCAGGTCAATTTAGAAGCAGGAAGGGGGAAGAGCCCGAGATCTGTAAATTTCCCGCAGGACCCATCCTGCTGACACGTTTCCTCCGCAGTCCGTTCTGAGCAAGAAACAGACCAGGACCGACAACGGTCCTAGTTTGGACATTCCATCGTATGTATTCCTTGAGCTGTAACATTGAGTGAAGGGTTCAGGATATTGCTGTGTTCTCCCCTTTTTCTGTCCTACGGCAATTTGATACAAGGTTGCTTTTTTAATAAAGTCGGTGTTTGATCCAGATGTTGTACACTGATGAAACCCATGTCCGTTTTGTAAATTTAAGGATGTGCAATTATTTCGTGTTCTCACTAAAGCCTGTATGGTTTGAAATTTTGACTCCTACTCTATTTCATTGAGACCAAATGTTACAATATAATACGCTGGATTTTATTAATAATCTAAATTGAAACATCTTTATTAGTAATGATATTACTTTGTCGGATTTGTTGAGGATTATCAAATATGCTAAGCTATTGCTTTTAACATTGGATGTTCTAATTTTCAGTGAAATAACTAGTTCAGTTTGTTTGAGAATTGCCAAGAATTACCAGGTACTATAGTGAGAAAATGGACGATAAGTAGTGATGTAAACATTACTTTAGAGTCAGTTAGCCGTCTTAGAATCTTTACAACTTGATACGCCATAACAGCATATTGTTTCTAGTTTTGAATTATGTTTATGTACTCTTCTCTTTCATTGACCCTCCTGCAGAGTTACATGAGACCGTTGAAGAGTCCCGAGTATTCCCACCTCTGCAGTGATCCAGGCATGGTGGACGTCATGTTCTACAAGCTGCCTGAGATCCTGAACTGCCACGAGAACTTCCTGCAGCAGCTGCAGATGCGCATCAACCACTGGCACGACACCCAGAAGATCGGCGACATCATCAGCGCGTCGGTAAGCAATGGCGACTGGTGTAGTCGCACCAAAGACCAAGAATTTTAAGAAGTCACGACAAGTCAATCACAGGCCATCCAGTCTAGATTCAGGAGTAGAAGGCTATTCAAGTTGGCGTAGCGGTACTTTCCTCGCCTTCCACCGCTGTGACCCGGGTTCGAATCCCGCCTGGGCCCATATGTGGATTGGGTTTTCAGTCCCTGCCTGGTTTCATGGGTTTTCACCAGAATATTCTTCTGGGTTTTCCCTCCCACCTCTAAAACTGTAATTTCTTATCGTTGTCTTCTCACTACAGGTTTCTTCAGGCTTGCGAACTACAGTGCCTAGGGCCCTTTTGAGGAATCCTTGGTTTTATTACCAGAAATAAATAAACTCATTTAAAAAAAAAAAAATCTGGCAGCGCTACACATTACATTATTGCTTTGCATTTTGAACTTGTTAAATTTATTGCCAATTTTGATCATAGTCAATCATGCTTGAAAATGATTGATGGTCTAAAATCATTTTGAGACAGCGCAGAAAGGAAAGTATTCACATGGCTCAGTCGTTGTTTTAATGGTAACAAGGGCAATGTTTCCAAAATCTTAAGTTTCTTCATTTTTGCCAAAAGTCATCCCCTCGTATAGTCAACAAAGTCGAGTTAGACATGGAAAAGTAAACATAATGGCAAAACAACTCTAAATGTAGGTTGACATCAATTATTGAAGGAACATTGCTCTGTCAATTGTCAATGGTTGTCACCTTCGGGGAACTGGACAAGAAACACGATTAAGGTCTGTCCTTTGAGCAGTTAGGTTGGTGGGTCGATCACCCCTGGCGGATCAATGTACCTGTTTCTGAATGCAGTCAAATCAGACAGCTCAATTACTCTGCAGCGCTGCGTGATATTGGATCAACTGTTGTTCAATTTTGGACACTTCATAGGCAAGGTGTTGATGAGAGAGGAAACGTCAGATGTTGAGTTAGATGCCCTGCTGGAAAGACCTAACAAGTTGTTTGAATTGTCTGTTCAGTATGTTCTTCCGAAGAGCAGGAGTCTTTGACGTGTACTTGCCAGAGCTCTTAAAAGGCTCGTGGGAACATTCGTAATTACCCGGAAACGTACCTAGAGATTTAGCGAAAACGTCCTTGCTAAAAGTAAAGATAAAACTGATACCAAATACCTTGTGAAATTATTCCACTTGAAATGGTATCATTCCAAAGAAAATAATCATTGAAGAAAATGTGCCTGTGGGCACTGTTTTTCTTCTTTTTTTGGCGTGCATTTTTAATAGTAACAGTATCCAGTTACGAGACCTCAAACATTGTTCATGCGTTTTCTCTGTTTTCTCAACACGTACACATGTATGTATAGCATCCACTGAGCTGAAACTTCACCCTTCTTAAGATTTTGAGCAGTTTTATTGCTTGACATGAAAAAAAAAATTTGAAAATTTATAAAAATTGAAAATAGTGATGAAAGATTTTCCATCAAGAATAAAATGGAACAAAACTGCACAAGCAGAGAGAGAGAACGAGAGTGACAGTGTATAACTTCTGTATTAAAGAATGGCTTCCTAGTATTGAGAGTGTGTTGGGATTAGGTTTGCACTTGCTGCACGGCGCCACCCATCCATCAGTTTGACTTCTAAACTAGTTTGCCTCATCCTGGCTGTAATCTGCACATCAATCAGCCACCAGCGGTTCTGCGGCCCCCCTCCGTCTTTCCCCCCAAATACATCCCTCATATTATAATTTAAACAACTTATTTGTTTGGCTACTGCCTGTGATTATGCAAAAGCACACATCCATTATTTAGCAAGTATCCTTTTGCGTCAGTTCAGAAAGACATTAAACTCTATCATACCATTACCATTTACTGCGCTGAATGTATACCTACATTAAAGCTGCATTCAAATTGGAAATAGTTTTCATTTTTACTGCAGTAAATTTATGCAAGGGAAAGGTTATATCAGTAAACGTAATTCCAGGTTTGGCCAGTTGTTAATTACACATTCCTGAAATTCATCTTCCCCAAAGTTTCAACAGCTACAGTGAAAATTCAAAATGTACATGTACTTGTAGTCAAAATCGCATTGTATTCAAGTTTGTTTAGCGCATATGATTTCTTTTTGCAAGAACTTTCACATGTAGCCTACATGTACATATCACTGTTGTACACATTTCTAGTGCCCAGCCCCCCAAAAAATACACCAGCTGTGCTGACAGCAGATGCTGTATATGTATCTTGCCATGGCAAAGATTATTTTCTTTTTTACGCATTGCTTGCTCTTGGCACAACGCAAGATGAATAATTCGATATGTAACATGATCCACGATCACACTCCTATGACTAATTTTTCTGCGTCATTGAGAGCACGTTATTGAGTCTGTGTGTGATGATTATCTTCACCTTGCCAAGCTTGCTTGCAATTTTGTTTTATCGCTGCATATCAATCAAAGTGTCGTAACTGTTTTAAGAATGAATTAATGATGACGGTAATGAGGGACTAGGTATCCTGGTTTATATACGCTATATGAAGTTGACTAGTGAGTTACTAACTAGACCTTATCTTAAGTCTGCTACATGTGCAAGTAGATGCAATGCTGCTTCAAGACCCTCTCAGATTTAGAGGTTTTCTTGAAAATAAAAAGTCTTCTTTTTTTTTCAAAGAAAGAAAGAAAAACTGATCAATTGTAGGGTTAGATGTGCATACATATTGCATTGAGTTGTGGCTGAAGAACCTTGGAAAAACTGTGGAGCTTTGTTGTATTTTCATCTTTAAAGGTAATATACAACATTTGCAAACATCAAAAACAAAATTACCAAATGATCATGGAATACCTCACTTGACTGTAAGTGAATAATAGTCTCAAGCATCCTGTGAAATCATGGCATCGTCCTAGTGTGCTGTCATTTTCAAGAAAAGTGAATGTTTTGTATAATTTCCAATGATGGTCGGCTGATTATCGTTGGAAAACAAAACAACCTTTTTTTAAATACTGCCCCCAATTTACAAAATTTAGTTAGTCCACATTTTGTTCGACATCGTGGACGGTTGCAAGCCAGCTAGTCTGGTTCCCTGACCTCAGTGACCTGACAATTCTCTGACGTCTATAAATTGCTCCGTTTCATCTGAAGTAGGGTCACGGTACCAGATTACGAGAACAGCGTTTTTTCCTTGGTTTTTCCAGTATCTGTGATCACAAAATGTTAAACGGGTCAGTGTAACAATTTTTTTTTTGTAAATACCAACCCCCGAATCCATCCATTTCTGAAAATTACAACAAAAGCAAATGTTGTATATTAATTGGTGGTTTATCATTGTGCACACGTTAGCATAAAGGACAGTAGATTGTTTGTGTGGTATCTGCAAAAAATAAAATTGTGGGGGGGAGGGATATTTTCCCAGAATTATTTTTATGCCTATAATTTTCCCTTTCATTTTAATTTAAAACACATGAGAGCTGGAAAGTGCGTTCAGAATTTTGATTCATAGCGTTTCCATGGCAGAAAGGTATAAAAAGTACAAACTCATTGTTCAACCCACAATGCATTTTGCGCACTCTCTCGACACAGTGATTAGTATGAGCGGATCCACCGCGCCTTTGTTGCTAGGCTAGCCGGCCAGATTGGCCAGAAAGCGCCAAATATAGACACAGAGAAATAAATGCCACATACATCATATGGCATCCAGGGATGTTGGTGAGCAGAGGAGGGGAAAAAAATGCCAGGACCGGCTTGATATGTGTTTGCTTTCAGTGCGAGTACAACGATGTGTGTGAGTGAGTGCAGTCCGTCTAATAATGGCCCAAGGGGTAGAGTTCTCAGTCGAGGCATTACGGGTTCTGAGCTGCAGAACATTCGGAATAAGATTACGAGCGTGTGGCATACGTGCGGAGAGCATGTTGCCAGATCTGTTGTCTCCAGGGATGTTGAGGGAATGGATACATTTTAGAACAGTAGCATACACATATTTATGTTTTTCTTACTGAGCGTCAGCTTTTATCTATTTACGTAAAGGATTGGTTATGCTTCGTGTAGAATTTTGATGAGAAAGGATCGGAGAGGCAGACAATGAAGTGTTGGCATTGGTCCACTATAAGCAACTTGACCAATTTATAACAGCTTTCTGTAAAAACATAAAAGTTCAAATTGTTTAGTTTTTGGAGGTTTTAAGTTCTGCCTCCCCCCCCCCCCCAATAAAGCAAAACTAAAACAACCGTTGCTGACAGTCCTACTCCCTAACACACACATACAGAATAAACGCTATGTATCAGAGGAAATAAACCTTAAATGCCATTTTGTCTTATTATTATTAGTAATTAAACACTTATGAGAGCATTTTTTACAAAATATAGGCATTCTTAAAGTAAAGAGAGCAGTTACCAAGACTGATTACTTTTCCTCCATGAAATCTGGAACACAGCGGCAACACAGCGGCTTTTCAAGCCCAAATAACTATTTATAGAAAAAAACGGAGAACAAAAAATCTGGGTAGTGACATAGTTTTGGTTAGCCTTGGGAGAGAAATCTAAACAATTGCCGTACTAAATTCACACTTCCCCCTGGAGTCACTGTGCTTTTTAGCGGAGAGTTGATTTTTAATCTCCGCTTTTCCCGTTCTTCACACCTGCATCCGGCTAATCACAATGATATCAGGTCTCAGCATGCTCATCCATGGTTGCTAGGATACCGTATCCAAGCTTATATTTCTTTCCTCCTCCCCCCCTCCAGTCCAGAAGTAAAGAAATAAAGAAACACTGCACTGATAATTTCTTGGTTTATGACTCTTTTCCTGTCATAGTAACGGGTATCCCGGGAACAAGTGCTTCGTGTCGTGTATCTGCGATTCAAACGGCATCTGTGGGTACTCCACGGGCCATCAAGAATAAAAATTCAGTTTAAAAGAGGGAAAGGCTTCAATTTAAAAGATCTTTTTCAATCTTTCAACGTTTTCAATCTTATTAAGGGCAGTTTCACGGGAAAGGTTGCAAAAAAGTCTCATGGGGGGTCAAAAATGAAACTTGTTGTATCCATAAAACATGTTTATTTGTTGAAAGTACATACATAAAGGTACTAGAAAATGTTAAAGTCAAGGCTTAAACATTTTTTCATTTCAATTTTAAGGCACTTTACACTTTGCAGACCATAAAATTTGTCGAATAAAGGTAGGTATCATAAACTGCTAATTCCACATCTCAAACATGCTTAGAGTTGCTTTAAAATGATTGATAGTCATCACAGTAGTCATGTCTTGAATATTAATGCACTCTAGGCTAGAAAAATACCACGTTATCTCATATACTGACAAAAAAAATTCAATTTTATAGCTCTCTTTTCCTTGAAACACAAACTTTCATTTCTGTTTTACAGAAAACCATGTAGCCTGCTGATTATTTGCACTTTTGTTCAAGGGCTGTATACATGGTAGAACAATTGGCAAAGAAATTGTGTTTATAGTGTGCTGCGTTATAGAGTTACCATGGTCTTTATAATTGCTATGAAAAGAGTTTACTTTGTTCAGGAAAGGACAACAATTTTAACAATTACTACATTCAGTCAAGTTTGATCTTATGAAGCAACATTACAAGAAATATAACCATAAAACTAGAGTTGGGAGGCTATACATTTGTGAGGCAGATCAGTTTGTACCTTATTATTGCTCCACCTAACTAAATTTACGTTCAGGAAAGGACAAACTATTTAACAATGTTTAGCATACTGGTACTAGCACCATGCATTTCCTGCATGACAATAAAGTTAGTCTGAAGTAATGTCCATTCAAATGATTAGGCTATAATTAGGCCTACTGCTGGCGAAACATAACTTTGTATTGAGACACTGATATATACATGTACCGGTACATGCCCCACAAAGAAATGCCTAGATAATTACACTGTACTATCCAATGGAAAAAAAAAATCAGTCAGCATGGCGCTTTTTATAAAATGGGATCTAAGGAATAGGCACATCAAGCCCAAAACAGTTTAACCCTAACCCACCTCACTCCTCCAAAATCCTCCTGGCGGTTTTGGAGGATTCTAGAGGATTGAGGATGAATGGTGATTGAATCAAATGAGGATTCTGGAGGATTGAGGATGAATGGTGATTGAAGCACATGAGGATTTTGGAGGATTGAGGATGAATGGTGATTGAAGCACAAGAGGATTTTGGAGGATTGAGGATGAATGCATTTTGAGGCAGGACTGTCTGAGGATTTTGAAGGATTTGGTGTTGGTTATCCTTCATTTAAACACGAGTGCAAAGTTTTGGGATGAGGAGGATTTTGGAGGATTGAGGATGAATGCATTTTGAGGCAGGACTGTCTGACAATTTTGAAAAATTTAGGCGGAGTTGCAAAATTTTGGAAAATTTTGGAGGATTTTGGAGGATTGAGGATGGTTATAAGCAACAAGGGCCTAGGGGGTTAGGGTTAAAGAACTTGTACACACGTACGTAGTTCATGTATGCACTGAGGAAGGTTCTTGTGTATCTGTACTTGTTCCTTGTTAAATGTTTCAAACATGTTCAGGAAAGGACACACATTTTAACAAGTTGTGCATGATCAGTGCATGATAAGCTTGACTGTTCCAATTTTCATAGCAATTAAACTAATGAAATGGCTGCACACAGAAAGAATTGTTAAAAAAGTGCAGTACAATGTATAACAGATGTTGTTAAACTTGTTAAAAAAAAGTGTCCTTTCCTGAACACATGAATACACAGAAACTAGACTAAAACAGTAAATTTTGATTACATTTACTCAAACTAAGGTGTGTATTTTGTGGAAGGGATGGTTTGAAACTGTAAATTAGCCAATTCCTGACAAATATTGGATTTAAGTGTGACTTGTAAAGATAAATGTATATGCATATATGCTTACTCATATTGTGTGTAAACATGAGTGAGTAAATGACCTGTAAGAACAAAACATTAACACTTTCTTGCCATTTAGTTGGTTTTAATTTTAGAACATAAACTTTACAGACAATATAAGCATAAACTTCATCAAATTTCTGCAACCATGGTTTTGCCAAGTACTCTGTTAAACTATATGTTCAGGAAAGGACAATGCAGTTTAACGACAATGACATGACAGCAAGCAAGGTTCGAGTCTGATTCTTTTTGTAGTCTGTTAAATCTAGTAAGTACACCCCTAGGTACATGTTTATGTCAAAAAAGTTTTATCTCTGACTTCCTGTAAAAAAAAGGGGGCCATGTTCAGGAAAGGACATTTTTAACAAACATTTGCATGGCATATGCGACTGCTGCTGTATCAAATTTACTTGTGATTATCCAAGTCCCATCTTTTTATACTTGATTACTGGAGTGTGTAGCGTCATTTTGACAGGCAATAAGTTGTGTATTCTTTCTTTTAATTCTGGGAAAAAATACCATGTTCAGGAAAGGACATTTTGAAAAAACGTTTAACAAACACATCAATGTCTCACTCAAAACGGCATTAAGAAAGAACGAGTTGGCCAATCCTAATGAAATTTGGTGTACATATTTTTGGGACATACTTCAATGTCCTTGCAAGTCTGGGTGGTTCCCATGGCATTCATTTTTAATTCTCATCAATTGCAGTTTCTAGAAAATGTGAATGAGACTCCAAATCTTGTGCTTTAGCACCCATGTGAGCTTATAATTTGAAAACCGTAATGCGTAGAGCTGCGATTTTTTTTCTGGAGACTGCTACAACATGACGGTCCTTGTGAGACAGAAACCAGCAAATTCCAACAAAGTCTTCCTATGAAATAAAGCATCGATTTCCTATTTTTCATTTTGCAACCTTTCCCGTGAAACTGCCCATAAACAATCTACATGTTGAATGTAATTCTCTCCATGTAAATGTGCTAATTCTGCTGGGAAAAACAACAACAGCTGTATGTGGCCGATAAAACTGACTGCAGCCAAAGATACTTAAAAGTGTTTAACTTATTCTTTCTGATATGCTCTTCCTTAAATTTGTCAATGACATGGCCTACAGCTTGTGGCATGCCGCGCTGTGTGCAGTCATTCATACACACTATAAACATTGTTTGTTTTATTATCAATTCATTTTGAGATATCAGTTATTTCTCACAGTCCAGGAACAATCAGTGATGATAAACCACACACAAAATACATAATGCAGAGGCACGATATGTACATAAAAAGCTCTAGTTAAGTAGACAGTAATTTAACAGGAGTGGGGTACTTCTAAATGCAAGATAATACATCAAAATAATTTCAGATAGTAAGAAATTGTACGCACATGAGTCAAATTCAGAATTTTAAATCTACCCCATTTTCTTGTCAGAAACAAGATTTTACGTTTAGCACAACGGAACTTTGACAGAGAGCTCTGGCATAATTGGACCACTTTATTATTGATAAGGTGTGAAACCCTCAACGCGCGATTAAATATTTTGTCATGTTTTGCCACTAGGCGTGTCATAAAGCCGTCCGCGCTGTGTGATAAATGCCGCAAGATGAGTTTGTTTTGGTTATCAGGCTAGATGTAAACAGTCAACAACCAGACAAAAAGTTCCCTGGCCTGATCGGAGAGGCTATGTTTTAGATTTCAATCTTTCTCATCAGATTGCATAATGAGTGATTGTCAAAACAGTGGTTCAGAACGATTACCCATGCGTGCTGTGATATTTTCACGTCAGTGGTAAATGAGGTGTAGCCATCTTGGATGTGTTCCCTGAAAGCCTGTTACAAAGATCTCTCTAAAATGAATCAGTCTCAGCTGGTACCAGCCTGTTTAGATTGCAATGACAAAAATGTTGATACGTGGCTCCTAGACAAGATAACAGTTACATTTCATAATCTTCCCAGTTAGTTTGTTCCAAACATTCAGAAGTTTCTGGTTGCAATTTTTTTTCTGAGGTGTACATTCAGCTGAGAGTAACACTGAGAATTTGGCAAAAGTCTTATAGAAAAATCAAGTTTAGAAGTATTAAAACTGAAAAGGTGACCTTTAAAAGGAATCTGAAAAGCATTGCAAAAGAAACCTCTTGCTGGATGCCCAGCACCTGAATTGTCTAAAATTACTTTATGATTTTTCTCTCTGTTCACAATGCCCATTTATTTTCCTGACATTTGAGGGTGCAGCTGCTGTACACATCAGGGAATCTCTGGCTGGGTCCCATGCCAAAGTTCCATGTCTCAATAAAGTAGTCCAGACCAAAGGTCATTCAGGATAAGCGTCAACGTCTTGTAACGGTGATGTTACGCAAATGCCCATTCTGCTCATAGTAAACGCGCCAGTGTCCTTCAAGCTTCTCCTTGCGCTTTCATGCGCCTTCACTGAGCATTCGGTTATTCCGTATGACCTGTGACCCATAACATTGCGCCTTTGCGCAGTTGAAACACCAAACTGTCATCTTAAAAAAAAGCTCTTTTGAAAGTTGTGGAATCCACTTCCCTTGTGTTATTACAGGCTATATCCAAGTAATTCAGATGCAGCCTCATATTAACCCTAACCCCCTAGGCATTTTTGCTATGATGCAACCTCAGTCCTCCAAATCCTCCAACTGCCTCCATGTAAAACTTGCATACAGTCTCAATCTTGAATGTGGTCCTTGGAGGGGTGACCACTGCCTCAATCCTGCAAAATCCTCCAGCAATCACTGTCAATATGTTGAGGCAGAGCCAGTGACATCCTAGAGCAGTGTAGAGGATTTCAAGTACTAGACTGAGCATAAACAACTCAAGGTCCGGCCTTAGACCTTGACACAGTGCATCCTCCAAAATCAGCCGCTCATTTGTGCCATATGGCCTCAATCCTGCAAAATCCTCCATTTTGCAGAGAGGATTTTGAAAGGTTAGGGTTAATGAAACTAATCTTATGCTTATTGTAATTGTAGTAGATGGTGGAACAGTTGCGCACCTCAACTGACCACTGTGCACTCCATTAAAATATTAACTAGAATAAATACGAGGCATTCTGAGTACTCCTATCTCACTGCTGCTTGTTTTCCCCTTACAGATGGCCAAACAGCCTGTGCTAGATACGTACACTGCATTCACCAACAACTTCAACCGTGCCAAAGAGCTCATCAGCAAGGCTTCAACCAAACCCGCCTTCTTCAAGTTTCTGGAGGTAAGCACTTCTACATTTCCTCAAAATTGAAATGTTACCTTTTTTTAATCCATGAGTCCTGCTCCCTCAAAAAGAGCAAACAGCTCAATTTTTGCCCATTCCTTGTGTTTCAAGCACTTTTCTGTTCTCTTACTTATCCGTAAGTTAACTCACGGTTTTTCTTGTATGTACTGTATTTGAATATATACATTGTTTTTAAAAAAAACCACCTCTTTCTCATCAAAGTACAATGGAAGACAACTCTGTATATTTATAGTTTGGATTTGATGCAGTTGAAGTTCTAAATTGTTGTTGGGTTTTAGATGTGAAATTTATTTTGATTTGTAACTTGAAATTGATCTTGATCTTGATTGTCATTTTGGGTTTTGATTTTTAAATTTTTTTTTTTAATTTTGAAATTGGTATTTCAGGAACGCACCAAGGAACACAAGGAGAGGCTGAATCTGGACGACCTGATCATCCAACCCATCCAGAGAATACCAAGATACGAGCTTCTACTCAAAGTAAGAGGTTGATCCCTAAAACCCTCACCCACCTCGGCATTTTGGAACCTTTCTAAATCCCTCAGAATCCACCACCCTGGGAACGAACCCACTGACTTAGTCATTCTTTGTTCTTCAATTTCAAAGAGCGTCAAGCCCTGTGTAAAGTAAAGCACCCCCTCAACGGTTACAAAGGGAGAGTTGGGGGAGACCACTCGGAGGGACATTCAAATGCATTTCCAATGGCGTCTGGTTCTTATGCGCAGTCGCAACTGTTTTGGGCAATTCCAGCGTTATGAAAGGAAGTGTAATGTCTGTGACAGAGCCAGTTAGCAATGATATCGAATTAAGGCCAAAAAAAAAAAAGTCTCCGGTTTCTGGTATGGAGCTTGCCCAAAAAATGGTGCGGCGACGCGGCTTTTTGGTTTTTTTTACCTGATTTTTTTGCTTCAAATGTCGGCTGATGACTGCAAATGGTGCCCGACTAAACTTAGTGCAAATATATGGGAGTCCAGAGAGGCCACATAAAGCTTATTCTCGACCATAACCCAATCTAAAAACACGTTAAAATTGTGCAGCAGCAGGATTCCAGTCAAAACCAGTGAGTTTGGCGGTTTTGAGACATCATCTTTCATCGAAAAAAACTTTTTCATTTTGCTGACGTGCATGGCTACGGCGACGCGCGCGCATACCAGAAACCGGAGACTTTTTTTTTTTTGGCCTATTGATTCAGAGAAATGATCCAAAACTCCTAGTCTGTTATCGCCTTGACCATTTCTAAGTGATGGATGTATAAGATTTTAAAAATACATTTTCTTCAGGTTTATTCACTGAGCTCCTCAAAGCTCAGTCATGGACATTACATATGCTGGAATTGTCCTTTTGTGCACATTCGGAACGAAAAATAATCGTGCGTACTTTGTACCATGTGTGTGCGAACCAGTACACGCATGCAGCACGTCTCTACAATATATTAGATTACTAGAGCAAACAAAAACACACCAATAAACAACAAATGAAATAAAAGTAGGAAAACAATTATGATGAGATGATAGATGTATATCACCAAATTTGGGAAGCAACAGTTTTCCAAAATTATTGAGCATCAATAATGTCCATTCAATATTCTTGATTTTGCTTATAAAAAGTGGTCCACAAGTTAAAAAAAAGAAGAAGGGAATTTGACATTACACTACTACTGTTTGTGCTGTACTCCCCACTGAACGAAAACAAAAATATTCACCTCACCAAGTCGCTTTAATGTCAATATCTGGGGCCGATCACTCTTGACTTTTGAGATTGTGCGAGGCAGACGTCATCGAGCGCCCGTCCATGATCCACCGTTGATCTACAGCTAATGTCTTGACACAGAAACAGTTTAATCCTCCATTAAAGACGAGGAGGTTTTTGACATTTTATAATCGTGTTAATATGCCGAGGTATTTTCTCTTGCCTTCCACCTACGTCAGAGAGTTTTTCGTTGGAGTGGTTTGCAGCGTAGTTTTAAGGTCAAAAGCCTTTTATCCGCTCCTTTCCATTCTTGTCTTCAGAAAAATCAAGCCATTGCAGTAAGTTTTTGATAATATCAAAAAGCAAATATTATGTGTTGTCAGGCCCGAGCTCTGTGCATATTACAACAGACCATAAACAAAATTAAAAGTGAGTCAACCTTGTTAACCAAAAAGAAAAGAAAAAAGTAAGACAAGACAAGAAAACAAAATGAAGATTACTTATGCACCTCTTGATAAGGCTTCTCGATGACCACTCAGGTTTCTGGATTACGTTTGGAGAAAGCTCATTTGTGAATGCACGTAATTCCAGCTGCTATCATCTGTGCAGTTTGCATCATCCAACCGGATTGTCAAGCGACAAATTGGAATGGGATCGTCTTGCATTGATTTCCCCGAAAAGAATTATACTAGGCAAACACAACTGCGATCCCTAATCAAAAAAAAAGTAGGAAACTGCTGTCGTTCTTTTTTTTATGTCTTATTTTGGAATGACGGATCTCATCAGCAGTGCTGTCCTCTATAAGCCAAGCTTTCAACGTATGTTCCAATTGTGAAAAAAAAGAAGAAAAAAAAAGGAAAGAAACAAATCGCAGGATCTGCAGGACTTAAGCTAAATAAACACTAATGTTATGAATAGCACGATTGGCCTCGTTACTTGAACGATACGGGAAAGCTCACGCAGTGCACTGTCCCTTTGGTTTGGCCAGGGAGAATATATCGGTTACAACGACTCTTCTTTTAGAATAATGGAACCTAAATCCGCATGTACTAAGAAACCTGAATCTTCCTTCGTGTCATTTATGCAACTCTGCCTCTATTATCCCTTCCCACCGTCAGGAGTCCAACCGCCATTTCTTAGTCACCGTTGGTCAAAAATACACCTGTGCGTCTCTGCAGACTGGTAACTGGCCCATTCCAGCACCCCCCCCCCCCCAACTCTCTCTCTTAATAAAGAAAACACACGACTGTTTGCGTTCACAGGCCAAAGCAAATAGTGCTTCAGAGTGAGTTACACGTCAAATTCAAAAAAAATACTTAACGAGGCAGGAAATGTGTACGGTTTGATTTGTAAAAGGAAACCACGCTTTGTGATTGGACATAAGAATTGATTGGAGAGCGTTGAGTAAACTACAGCTGAATGCTCTGTATAGCTAAGATATAGTTTTGTGTAGCCATGATATAGTTCTGTGTAGCCATGATATAGTTCTGTTTAGCCATGATATATTTATTTAAGCCATGGTATAGTCTTAAAAGAATCCAAATGCGACCAACTGTACTCCTCAAACTGCCCACAATTTCCCTGGATTTCTAAAACTCTGTCTGTTGTTTTATGCCTCAAAATTTGTAAAAGTTTAGAGAGTGTCTAATATATATGGCCCTGGCCTTCGATGATAACTACAAAAACATGTTATATTTATTATGTATAACAATTACAACATTTTAACCACAAAAAAAAGAAATTTATTTTTGTGTTAAGGTTCAAAGGTTGAAAAGTGTTGTGGATGCCAGTTTTGGGTACACCAATATTCATGTGCATACAATGTATATTTTAAGGAAACACTTTTTTATGTGGATGTTAGAAACAGTGCCTTAAATGAACATTGCATTTAGAATACTTGTTAAAGGGAATATACATCATTTGCTTTTGCTGTAATTTTCAGAAATGGATGGAATTGGGGGATTGGAAATACAAAGCAAATATAGTTACACTGACTTTTTGGAGGTTTTGGGTTCGAAAATGCTATAAAAACCAAGAAAAACGATCATTTACCTGTAGTCTGGTTCCCTGACTCCATATAAGAAGAAACAGAGCAGTTTACATACATTGGGGAATTGTAAGGTCAGGGAACCAGTCTAGCTGGCTCGTACCCGTTCATAGGTTTGTAATCGATTGCAAACAAGTGCAATAGTCAATTGGGGCCAGTATTTGAAAAAAAGCCAGTTGTTTCCAACGCTGATCGGCCGATCAGCATTGGAAATTGATACAAAAATACCACTTTTCTTGAAAATGACAGTATACCAGGTGCCATAATTTTACAGGATGCTTTAGACTGTCATTTACCAACGTCCTATTAAGGTATTTCGCAAAAACTTGGTAGTTTTATTTTTCGATGTTTGCAAATGTTGTATATTCCCTTTAACAAATATGTTTTGTTACCCATGGACAAAAATCCAACTTTAAAGCAGTACTTGCAAATGACAGTATTAACAAAATGCCCATTATGCCATATCTATTGTTAGATCTGTTGTGAATTTGAGTTTGTTTGTTCCTTTTTCCTTCTGTCCACCAGGAGTTAATTGACAACACACCTGAGGACCACCCAGACCAGGAGAGTCTCCAACTTGCCCTGAACACCGTCAAGACCCTCGCCACGGCCATCGACGAGAGCAAGAACAAGGCCGACCTCAAGGTGCGGGATGAGCAGGCGCTGCGGGACCTGGAAGGCATGATAGACGGCCACGTGGCGCTGGTGTCGCCGCAACGACGGTTCATCCGACAGTACGGGGTCACTGAAATGGTACGGGTCGCTGTTGTAAGTGGTCGTTCTGCATGATTTGTCAGTGCAACCCCATCCCCAGCCCAAAAGCTTCTCCCCTCCCCTACACTCCTTCAGTTTCTTATGACATTTTCTTTTTTTGTGTCGATACGGACTCTTTGCACATTTGCCCCCCCCCCCAACTCGGTTATTAAGAGGGAGTTAAGAGGGAGTTAACTTCATTAGTCACGTGAAAACGATGCATGTTTGAGTACATTCAGTATCGTGTGTACTCTGCGCAATAAGTCGCGAAACAGTGCGCAGACGATGCAGGTTTGTATACATTCTGTATCGTGCATGCTCTGCGCGATAAGGTGCGAACCAGTGCACAGATGATACATGATTCAGTATCGTGCATACACTGCGTGATAAGTCGCGAACCAGTGCGCAGACAATATAGGCTTGTATACATTCTGTATCGTTCATACGCTGCGGTATAAGCCCGCGAACCAGTGCGTAGACGATACAGGTTTGTATACATTCAGTAACATACAAACACTGCGCGATAAGTCGCGAACAGGTGTGTGCAAAGCTCCCTTTCTCATTGATGGACTGAGTCCATACGAAGCATATGTCCCTCATGCTAACTGATGCTTGTTCCCAATGCTAACAAACTGTTGAAAAACAATGGCATGCAAACTTTCATTTTTGTTGTTGTGTATGTGCATGTAATATTGAATGTTTACAAGAAATTCCATTGTTAATAAAGTTGAAATTATTCATCCACTGATGTTACTCATTAAGAGAATGAATAAGCGAAAATCTTGAAAACATTTTCATATTTTTGTGTTTCCAGCAAAAAGGTGCGCGGAAGGATCGCTGCGTGTTTCTCTTCTCCGACCTCATCCTGTGTGCGTCAGTCAAACGAAGATCCGGGGGCATCAGGCGCCCGTCTATCTCCGCGTAAGTAACGAACAACTTTGTAAGTCCGGGTGCAAGACAAACAGAAGTGGTACATGTAGTTCAGAAAAAGATTTTTAAAAGTTTGTGTTATTCTGAATTAATGAAAGAATGGGTTGTTTTCATTTCAAGCATTTGATTCTGAAGAGTCGGAGTAAGTCGAGGAGATAATTTAAAGCGACTTTCTTGAAACTTGATGTGTGACTTGATTTGAGGCAGTAAAATGCATACATGCCGTCAAAATGATTGAGACCTCAAAAAATGGATTGTTTCTTCAAACTACCTTTTCCATTTATGGGTGTCTGTAACCCCCTGAAAAGGGGCTTGGATTTTGCACACAAATGAACCCGCCCTGCGTAAGCTAAATTATCGTTGTGCTGCAATTGCCGGTATTCCACATTTGTGAAGAAATAATTAAATTAAACATTGGTGGATTTTTTGACGGTCTCTTTCAAAAGTGAAGAGCTTTCATATTGCAAGGAAAATAGCTATTTTAAAAATAACTCAATTTATCAGGATGGAACTCAAAACAGTAAGGGGGAATGCAACTTTAAATGAGAGATTGTGAAACCTCAAAATCCTTGAAGTAATTTAGTGCAATTTTATATAGTCTCCAAATATATTTGTTTGGAATTGCCCAAACTTTGTGGAATGTCCGAAATAAAGAGCTGAGTCCACTGAACTGGAATGTGGATGTAAAGGGATTATTTCAGACGGTGTCACAGCAAGCGTCCTACAGATGGGTATCTCGCAGTTTGCAAAGCCTCAAATCTCATTTGTCGCTTGACTTGCTTTGAAATGTTTCGACTTGACACAGATCCAAGAACGTCAGAAATATCTCCGAAGGAGAATTTATTCACACTGCTGTCTTTAACATGCTTCTCTGGATTGGGGAAGCTTTCTCCATATTTGTGCATACTCCAACGCCGGCTCATATTTCTTAAAAATTTACAATGGCCGATTAAAACACCTCGCCAGGAGTATCCATTCAACTGTTTTTACACGGCGCGTAGCTTTTGGAAGGCCGAATGTTTATCGTACAAATTCCAGCGCATGAAATATTATGCCATTAATTCTGTTTGCACCGTCAATTTATAGGCCTGAACTTTGGACTGTAAACTGTTGGTTCCGTCAATTTGTATCGGGGGAAATTAGTTTTGGGATTTGCCTTTATACTCACCGGAATATTTTCCTTGATGAGAAAAGTCTCATTTTTCAAAAGTGTCAGCAGTTGTGTGACGGCATTTTTTTTTAACAACAAAATCATGAAAATTGCGCATAAATTGTTTTGATCCAGAGCACATCATCAAATAATACTTGGTGACAAATCATTGTTTAATTTTGCATAAAAATTTCAAGACTTCGTTGAGCTTGCACCAATTGCTTGTTTCGAATGCTATTCTAAGGTCAAAAGTGACCTAGAAAATCAATGTGTTTTATCTCTTAGTAATCCAATTACATGAGGCTGGTCATTTGCATAATTACAAGCAGTAGTTGTTTCCTTAAGAGATTGGTTTTCATTTTCATCCATTTACAAACCATGACCTTGGCATTATATTTTTGTCAAGAGGTAAATCACACAATAATGAAAATTTTGCAAAGATGACTCCACGACAGTACACACTTGTATATATGTACATTGTGTAAGTTGGACAAATGACAAATTCTCTTACGGTATCTTTTCGATTGCTAGTCGATATTGTCATAATTCCGTACCGTTCAGATATATTCACAGAAATTGTGTGCAAATTTTTTTTTTTAATCCGATACAGTGAGATTAGCTCTGCTAGATGAGAACTCAGTTACTGTTGAGTGTGTTAAAAAAAAACGCTCATAGGGATATTTTAATTCAATTCAATGCAATTAATATTTTAAAATGCCAATACTTTTGTAAAACAATGTAACAAAATGGAGTAATAAATAATTTTTTTTTTTGTAATAAGTGACAGATAAGAAAGAGCAATAATTCAGACGAATTATTTAGACAAATATCCTGTCCACAATTTTAACTGAGATTCAGCCACGTACTCAATAAAAAATGTGGACTGGCAAGTTTTTGTCATCCTAAGAGCTTGACAAAAAGTTGTGTGTTCTGAGCAGGTTAATAATTCCCAAATGTCTATAAAATGTTCAATTTATGTGCCAAGGACTGTCAGCACGGTCACTTTCTGACAGCACAAAAGTCCCATGTCAGTGGCCAATAGCTTTTTCGAGCAGGGAAGAGAAACATACCATTAGTATTTAGTGACTGCCGTAACTGTATTTGTAAGAATGTCTGACGGGAATTCCTTCCCCATACACCTGGTTACATTCCTCTCAAGGATCGTCTGGAGAACTCTAATGGACTTCCTCTGTTCATCCCTGCCCCCTTCCCCTCCCCCCCCCCCCCCATCTTCCTTGGCCTACATACTTGACCCCGAGCAACCTGCTCCTTGATAACAATTATCATCTGGGCCTGATTTGATCTTGGCCGTTAGTCTACGCCGTTGTTAAAGAACAGATCGATAGATGGCTTGTTGAATTTACGTAAAGATTTGGTTAGGTTTTCATACGTGTAATGAAAGCTATTTACTTCAAGACTCCAAAAAGTAACTTTCCTCGTTTTTCCCTCTCATTTCTGGTTCAAGATACATAAGATCATTTTCTTTTTGCGCTTTTTTGTTCTCATTTGAATCAACAAAATTGCTCAAGTTCTTAACTAGGGTGCGTAACAACTACTACCCAATCGTTTAGCTCAGTAGGTTCTGTCCATTTTGAGAACACAGAGACAACATTTCTACAATATTTGGGTTCTTGTAACTGGATTCCTTGCTAATTTCTGCCAAAAAAATGTGCCGTGGGCACCCTGTTATGGAACAGCATTCCAAGTTCGTTTTCGTCTGAACAATAACACATCAAGCGGGATAATTATACCAGTCCTATATTCACTTTCTGTCTTTCAATTTATCAGTTAATTGCAAATGATCCTTCATTGCTTCAAGAATTACATATGTATTTTCAGGTGCCACTGGGTGTTTTTTTTGCGATGAAAGTTCCTGAATCCAACAGAACCCAACGCCATGCAACACATTGAATGTACTAAAATTGGGATGCAATCCCTATGTGGAGTTACAGAAGTTCTGCTCCACAGTCTTGCATGCTGCAAAATCTGGGAATGTATTTTGGTGGGTTCAGCGCAGTGAATTAAATACAACATTTTAAAATTCTACTCTCCACCTTAATATTAGTTTCAAGTGCCTAAGTCTGTTAACAACAGTAAAATTCATATCATGATTGACAAGTTGTTTGAGAGATTTACATTGGAAAAAAAAAGGGGGAAAAAAAGAAGAAAACCCGAGAAGTTACTTTGAAAGGGACAAAATATGTAGTAACAAAATATTCCTTCTCATCAACGACCCTGCCCTTCAAAGCATACATGTTTCTTCATGTTAGAAAATTGGGTCTCTGCACTCTACAACAGTGTTATTATCAATTGGATGTGCGAGCACCAACAACCACTTATGAAGGGGGAAAAAGCCTTGTCTCTCCTGGGTAGAGAAAGATTTTTTTTAATATCTGTAATTTGATCAGAGCAAGCTCTGCCCGCGATATCCGCGCTCCTCAATCATCAAGCATGCAGACATGATTTCTGTTGGGTTGTTCTGTTGGCCCGCATCACTGATTCCGGTTTACATTATGAGCTGCTGTACGAGTGAATGTAAATAACCCAGGGGCTCTCTCCTTAGGGGGCCTGAGGTTAACCCAAGTTTTATATTGCTCCTGGCGGTGTTGTCATAGAGACTGTTGCCATGGACAATTTTGATGCTGAAGTTTTTTATATGAGTATTGTGTGTCCTTTATTTTGATTAAGTCTGAGCGGCTGAAAACGACTTGAAGATTTTATTTCCATGACAGCAAATCTCAGATCCAGAAAAAGTCACCCCAGAGTCTAAGGTTTACACAATTTTTTTCATCGTTATCTGTGATGCCGTCATGGCAACAGTTACCGTAGTGATTTTGATGCCAAAGTTGTCTGCTCTTCATTTTTTTCTTGCATGTTTTATCTGCGTGCGGACTCAGATTAGGTGTATTAAAAAATGTCCTCGATGGAGTGTTGTGGTTTGATACATTTCCGTTTGTTTCAGACAGGGTAAATATTAGAACCAAATTTATAAATTGTTGGTCAGGAAATTGTGAAAGTCCAATGCTAGTAGACACTGCATGATGGATGTGTAGCTCTCAGCATCTTATGAATATCGGAGGATTACAGCGCTACGCTTCTTAAGCTGGGTGAATCAAGGATTTTGCGTCAAGTTGTCCCAAATGGGCCCGTTTTATTTGAAAGGCACCATTTGCATTCCAAATCGGGAAAGTGGCTGACGTACGTTTGTCAGACTACGTCAAACAAAAAAAGCGTGCCGTTCGTTACAGTGACATATCTGGCATATGCAGTAATGCATTAGATTATGCTTATTTCAGTCGGCTGACAGTACAGTGAATAGTTTATCACAACACCTGTGCACAAGTTTGCATAAATTTGGGATCGTTTCAAGTCGGACTTGTGTGACGCGTTTTTGTCTATGGGACGTGGCATTGCTCATTAACTATGCATGTAATTATGCAGCTATATTTATGCATCGTTTGCTGAGTTTTTGTTTTTAATCCTGAGGGATATCAAATCCAATGAGCAAATTACATTGGTTAACAATTTCAGTCAAAAACACTGTAAACAGGGGTGAATAACATGCAGTAATTATCTGTTGTACCTCAATACATCTTCAGAGGAACTTGGAGAAGTGGATTTGAATTTGTCCCCCCTCTTTGTGAGATATTGAAAGTCATTGGTCACTCTTTCCTTCTTTGCTGTTATTTGATTCCTTTCACTATTAACATTTTATTCACTTTCTAAAGGGATTTTTTAACACTTATGCTTCCCCCTTCTGTGGTTCAGCTGTATGTCTTTATTCATTCAGTCTTTGAAAGATTGATTTTGTAATGCTCAGTGTACTGTTGTGCAGAGCATGAATATATCAGATTGTCATGTCTCAACAAGAATTTTCCGTTCGAGAATTAAAACATATTGATTCAGGCAAGATCATATTTCAGAATCCCAAGAGATTTGTTTGGTCCAGCAGATGGAAATTTTGCGTCGGTTAATGAACAATCGATTGCTCAGAGTGGAACTACAATCAGACATACCCCCTAGATGTGTGACATGATAAATACACACATATGAGTCCCCTTTATAATAATGTAGGAACTCTGTGTGATTGGGTACTGCTGGCTCTTTGGACGAGAAAAAACCCCGACACAAAACAAACAAACAAATAACTGAAATACAATCCCTGCTTGTAAACCTGAAAGACTTGCAGGTCGTTGGCATTGTGGTCTTATGACAAATGGACTCTTTCAGTCCAGCAAATCTGCTCCCTCTCTCTCTGTTACAATCCCCAGCCCTTTTTGCTCTCCGATTTGGCTCTCGTCGGCCGGAACAATCAAAATGTAAATGCACGGTGCCTGAAAGCATGTTTTACAAACGCACTGAAAGGGCTCAATTGCTTCTACGAATGTGGATATATTTCAACATTGTTGTTTGTCGGTGTCTGGTTATAGCGCCCCCTCCAGGCAGGATAAGTCAGCTTTTAGTTGATAGGGCACTGTTAGGGTAGATTAACTATTTTCTTATCAATTACTTGGCAAAGACGCCACAGGAGTGTTAGCGTTTAGATACAGTAAAAATGAATTGTGCTTATTCCACGCCATGCATGCCCAAACCAGTGAATGCTTGCAATGTACCCTTCCCGCACTGGCTCTTCTATTTCATCTTGGACCGTGTCCAAATCACTTTGCTGTGGCCAGCAGCAACCAATATGTTCATGGCAAGTGGTTGCAGAAGCTAATGTTGCTAGCATTGTGACTTTAAGCATGATCCCTGGCTACATATACAGGTTTATGGCTTCTGACTAGTACCCTTGAACAAAGACATTGACAACTGAGGAACCGCCAACATATAGGTGGATAGCTCAGTTGGTAGAGCACCGGAATGGCAATCCAGGGGTCGCAGGTTCAAACTCCGCTCCAATCAATTTCTTTGTTCCACTTTAAAATTATTATTATGCACCTAGTCAGTCTCCCTTTGTGGTTTAGGCCCTATTTGAAAACTTAAAAACTTGAAATTCCATTGTCTTTCTTCCCAACATGTCTCACAGTCTCTCTCCGGCCACGTTACCTGTGGAAGCCTGCAAGTACAAGCTTGCCTGGAAGCTTCCCGTGGAGGACGTGGAGATCGTCAAGTCCCCGGCAAGCACCCAGCAGGCCAATCAGGAGCGAGACCTGGGCAAGCTGGAAGAGGACCTGTCCATCCTGAGCCGCATCAGCGGACTGACGGAGACGCTGTCCTCACCGCATCAGGTGGGTTGACAGACACAAGAAAAACATTCCAGTCAGCATGTAGCGCTTGGACTCTTTCCTCATATCCAGAATGTCCTCAGAACCTCCCGTTTGAATGATCTGGGAGTTTTATGGCCAAGGAGTTCAGGGATTCTTAAACAAAGATTTGTTTGCCATTACCCTTCCAGATGCTTATACATCCACATGGAAGTTTAGAGAACTTTCTGGATTTGAGGACGGTAGAATCCAAGGTTTAGCACTCTGTACAGGGCGTGATGCCCCGTGAAAGTTAGTCTACCAAATACATGCCATTACTTTACAGTTAGTGGATGTTAAGGAGAGGGCTGTAGTTTTATCATGCCTCAATGGAGTGTAAAACTTTGTACTGTAGTAATCATGTGTTATCATTTCCCAAACCCCTTAATGTCACAAATGACACCATGAAACTCAAGATTTGAATGTCCCACTGCAAAAAAACCCAACTTTCCAAGCTGGCAGGACAACTTTAATGTACATTGTAAAGTAGTTCACAAATATTTATAAAAAAATCCTGAAAGAGTTTGTGTCTTCCATGACAGGGTCTTGATGAAGTATTGAAGGAACTTACAGAGACAGTCAGCAAGCGTCTAGCTGAGATGCAAGCACTGCCGGCACTGCCCACAGCCTTACTCAGCAAAGTAGAACTCACTGCGACTACACAGTACGTATATCTGATTGTCGGATGGTCTGACCATTTGACTATCTGAGGGCTGGTTGTGAATTGGTGATGTCGTTGCTAGTCATTGGGCTTCAAAGTTTGAAAAGTTGAACACATTCAACCCCGGCGAATTGCTGCTATTGAAAACATAAATGCAAATTTGTGATGTCGTGGCTAGTAATTGGGCTGCAACCGGCGAATGTTGCTGCTATTGAAAACATAAATGCAAATTTGTGATGTCGTGGCTAGTAATTGGGCTGCAATTTTGCAAAAGTTGAACACATTCAACCCCGGCGAATGTTGCTGCTATTGAAAACATAAATGCAAATTTGTGATGTCATGGCTAGTAATTGGGCTGCAAATTTGCAAAAGTTGGACGTAATACTCTGGAATAGTATGGTGTGATGTTTTCTTATGTCCATTTCATGTCACATTTGCGTTCAGTGTGAGGTATGGACTTGCCTGGTGATGTAGGATTCAAGATCAACACAGTACACTACAGAAGAGGCAATCATGCTATGCAGTACAATATTAGGAACAGTCTGTTTGGCATTTAACTTCACAGTCGCCGCAGGCATGCTGCATGTCATTAATCGGGTATCTCTTGTACTTAACGATAGTGGTACGCACTGCTGTGGTTCATTTTGCCTTCAGCAATCTTGGGATTTGTTATTTGAACATGCAAACATGGTGATCTGAATGAGATGCTCCACAATCGAGAATCCTTACGCCAATTGTGCTTATTGCTGCTGGTGATTGTCTGCCCCTCTCTACGGTACTGTGTCATTATCTTTGAACCTACGTCAGTCTAAAGCAATTTCCCATAGGTCTGGCTTCATCCTGAGATCCAAAAGTATTTGGGAGCCTTTAATCCGCACAGAAATACTCTACTGTTTTGTCACATATGGCAGGATTGATAAGTTTGTGTTGAGCCAGAGTCCCCCAAGTCAGGAGCCTGAAATCTCTAGAAGCCGAAGCCAGCTTGAAAGCTGAGATTCAGCAAGAGATGTCCAGATGTTTTTGTGATTATGTCATTAATTAATGACGGCTCTGTATGGATTTCTTGGATACGGCTAGCAGTTATACCTGTGTCTATGGGATATGGCTGCAAGTGCTTCCATGGGTGCCTGTGTCATTGCAAGTCATAGCCAAGTAATTTGGGCGTGGGCTAACTCTGTCTACCTTGTCTAACCTTTGAACTCTTCTTGTTTGCAGTGAAGGCATTGAGAGCTTCGTACTCCTCTTCCAAGGGCAGGAGGCTCGGCAGACATTCGAGAACGACTTTGCTGAGGCAAAGAAGAAATTAGGTGAGGGTTCCTTGCCAGCTATGGCACTCCTGAACTCTTACATATCTGCACAGCCATGCTCTTCCAGTATGGAATTAATTGCTTAATTAGACAAAAAATAAAACATGGCTAAGACGTTTGAGCTGATTATCAGATTTTCGTCATTCATTAGTGCCACTTTGAACCTTAACATCAGGTCAGCATAGAGTCAAAGGATAGCATGTGCTCGAAATAAAGAAGCTTTTGGAAGACTGTTAATTGTTTTCTCCTATTCCAAAGAGTTTCAAGGTCTCCACTTACATTTGTTTGTTTCACAGCTGCACGTTCCAAGGACCACTTCCCGCCCGTGTTCTTATACCCTATCCCTATCATGAAGACGCGGAGCGGCATGCAGTTCTCCTGTGCAGCTCCTAGCTTAGGCACCATGAGCAACTCACTACGCGACGTCTGGGTGTGCAATAGTGACGGCTATGTAGGCCAGGTGAGCCATCTTAGAAATCAGTGTTTATTTTCTTCCAAGCTCAAGTAATGAAGCCATTTTTAAGGTCTTGAAATACAGTTGTATGGATAGTGCAGGGCTAATGTCATGGTAACTCGCCAGTGATTAACGAAACCAAACCATTATACTACAAAACGTCTATGATTTGGTTATATGAAGACTCTGAAATGTGAATTTTTTCCAGATACATTTTACGGATAGACAAACTGCCTTGGCAGATGCAAGAGAGAGGCTGTGTAATGAATATTCAGATCTTTCCTGGACATTACGGAACCACTTCTAAAGCCCGGTTCATACTTCACGAAAGCATGTGCGAAGCGAAATTCATGTCGTCAACAATGGTGGACGTGCTTCGAATGTATTGTTGACGTCACGAATTTCGCTTCGCTTTCGCGTGAAGTATGAACCGGGTTTAATCCAGTACCAATTCGGTAACAGTCCAAATTGTTCTTTGATTTAATAGTACTCACTTTATTTTCTCCCTGCTTCTAGGTGTGTCTACTTAGTCTCACCCCTGAACCCACAGTGGCCTTCTGTATATCGGTGTGCTCAGCACGCATACTGTGCATTGCCCCTGTGCCTGGTGCACAGGACATGCATTCCATACGGTAAGTCAGTAACTAGCGATCGTTCTCATCTATAGCTGTATTTTTTGCATCGTAAAGCAATAATGGTTTTTGAAACAATAAAACATTATTTTAAAAGGTCACCTTTCAAGGTTGCATTAATTGTCTTGCTATTAATCATTCATCGTTAGTAACTACCAAACAATCTGAAATATTGCTTTATTTTCTGCATTGTAAAGCAAGATGGTTTTTGAATCAATAAAAATTGTATTAAAAGGTCACCTCTCAACTGTGCAATAATTGCCTTGCAATTAATCATTCATCATTAATTGTTTTCATGCAGTCCCACAATATACATTCGTTGGGACACTCGGTTAATGAAAACAATTTTTTATATAAGAATGCACTTCACACAGAAAAAAGGTTCTTCCAAAAACAATGTGTAAAACTGCGGAGGCCTTGAGACCAAGAACAATAATAAATCTTGTTGAGTAATATCTATAAATGAACGTCAGCTTCCCCATAGTGCATTGCTGATAAACATGGATTTATGCCACAAACGGAAGCTTGTATTATGAACAGTTTGTATTGCTTATTTTCCTTTTAACTTAAAAACAAAAACTAAATATATTTTTACACTTCTTATGAAATACACAGCGGCAGGGTACACCTCCGAGTTCCCAAGATCCCATTGGACACGGGCCAGACCAGGCCGCTCCAGTTCCTGGGGGAGACTACGGCCAACGGCCGATGCATTATGCCCGTCAGCAATACCCTGAACCAGCAGGCCAGTGACATCATGCCATTTGATTCTGATGACAGCGAGGATGAGGACGAGGTGGCCATGTCCCCGGGGTCGGGAATGGCGCCGGAGATCAGGCTACAGGTGGATGATGTACCCATGGAGGAGGCTAGTTCAGGTGAGGAGATTTTCTGTATTGTCCATTATTGTTAAGCAGTTCGGTTAACAAAAGGTTTTGTGGTATTCGGAACGGATGACGGATAAACACGCAGGGAGCGAGGCCAGAAATATGAGTGTGCTGCCCGAGGGTGATGGTGTCAACCGCCCTGGCATTGAGGTCGAGTGATGACGGATAAACACGCAGGGAGCAAGACCAGAAATATGAGTGTGCTGCCCGAGGGTGATGGTGTCAACCGCCCTGGCATTGAGGTCGAGTGAAAAGTAGTCCTACGCCTCGTTCCGTTCTTGTCAAAATATTCCCGGGGTGAATTGGTTAATTTCCGCACAAGTCCTCACAAATCCTTACAAGTCCTCACCAGTCCTTACAAGTCCAAACAGATCCAAACAAGTCCTTGCAAGTCCTAACAAATCTTACCCATGGAGGAAGTTAGTTCAGGTTAGGAAATTTTTTTGTATTGTGCAGTATTGTCCATCACAAGTCCTGACAAGTCCTGAAAATTGTTCACAAGTCATCACAAGTCCTCATAAGCCCTCACAAGTCCTCATAAGCCCTCACAAGTCTTCACAACCCCTTACATGTCCTCTCCTGTCCTTACAAGTCCTCTGTAGTTCTCACAAGTCCTTACAAGTCTTCTACAAGTCCTCATAAGTCCTTCACATGTCAATCACAAGTCATCTACTCCCAAGTCAAGTGACCGGCTACTCAAATAAACGTGACCAAGACATTCCCTTGTTATTGTTCATTCCGTTACTTGTGACTGGACTTGTGAGTTGACATGTGGTTTTTGTGTGACCAGACTTGTGATGTACTTGAATTCAAAGCATAGTTCTTCAACTACAACACTGGTTGACAGCAATCAAATGCATAGAAAGCTAAGCGAAAGGTTAAGCACTAACTACGTACAGTTCACAATTTAGTCAGTGTCTCCCTCCAGTGCGCATGAGTCATTGCAGTTTGCATGAACAACCCTAGACAAATTTTCCATTAGTTGCATGTCTTGGTGATTAATACTCCATGCATTGAATATTTGTTGCCATTTAACTCAACAGAAGAAGACTTGGAGAGGACATCCTCAAGCAATAATCTGGAGGAGATGTCATCCCGAGAGGATCTGGAGGTGCTTCAGCCAACAATGTGGTTAGGCACAGAGGATGGATGGTAAGAAACAAGTCCTCAACTGTCTATCAAATGTTTGTTACCTTTTAACAGGTTCATATAACACCTTATGTTTTTTCAATAGGGGGACACAATTTGAATGAATCTGACTTTTATTTTAACCAGAGTTATAACTTGCATGACTTTTATTTCTAGTCCGTTTTTGACATTTAGACACAAAATGTGTATTTTTTGGTTGTTACTTACTTGTATTTCTCAAGCCTGTAAAGTCAGGTTATTCACTTTTGTGTAAAGGATAAATAGTAGTGATTGTCTGGAGTGATCTTGTTCCCATTTAATAAGTCTTCTGTCTAAATGTGAAGGTGGCAGACATGTATATCTATGACATTTGATTTAAAGGGAATATACAACATTTGCAAACATCGAAAAATAAAACTAACAAGCTTTTACGAAATACCTTACTAGGATGTTGGTAAATGACAGTCTTAAGCATCCTGTAAAATTATGGCACCTGGTGTGAAGTCATTTTCAAGAAAATGGTATTTTTGTATACATTTCCAACGGTGGTCGGCCGACCACCGTTGGAAAAACCTTACTATTTTTCAACTACTGCTCCAACTTTACACTTTTTTCAGTCCAAATTTTGTTTGCTATTGGTTACATGTTCATGAACGGGTGCAGGCCAGCTAGATTGGTTCCCTTACCCTACAATTTTCCGGCATCTATAAATTGATCCATTTTATCTTTAGTGGAGTCAAGGAACCAGACTACTTGAACAGTTTTGTTTTCTTGGTTTTTCCAGCATTTTCGAACACAAAACTTCAAACATGTCAGTGTAACAATATTTTATCTATTGTACTTACCCCTCAAATAGTTCATTTCTGAAAATTACAGCAAAAGCCAATGATGTACATTCCCTTTAAGGTCCATAACCTTGCTTTGTTTTGGCTATGGCCTTCTAAGCCTTTGCTAGATTACCCGGATTTTACTATTCAGTTATGTAAATGTCAACAATCTATATATTTCTTTTCATCATAGCATCCACATCTACCAGTGTACCGACAACATCCGTACACGCAAGAGCCGAACGAAGATTCGTCACCCAGCAGCTGTCCAGTGCATCCTTTACCTTGACAACAAGGTTTTTGTGTCCCTAGCGAACGGGGACCTTACTGTGTACAGGAGAGAACCAGGTGGGTTTATCAATCATCAGCAGTGGACCAATCCATTAAACCCTGCCTACTGGGCAAGTCGGGTTCCCTCAGTTACGGAAAAAAAATCCTGGAAAATCTTGGAATTTAAAACTGTCATGGAAAGTTATGGGAAAGTCACGGAATGTTTTTAGTTTTTTGACAAGGAGTCATGGAAAGCTGGTTATTTCAAGGAAAAAGTCATGGAAAAATTAAAGAATCTTGCACAACGCATATGTTATGTTAGTTTTATTTTTGTCTGATTTTTGGGTTTTTTTTTTTTCGTTTGTGTGCAGGTCATGCCTGGGACACAAAGAACCCTCTAACAGTCACCCTCGGTAGCAGTACCACCCCTATCAGCAAAATGGTATCGGTCTGCAGCAAGCTGTGGTGTGGATGCCAGAACAACATCCTTGTGGTTGATCCCGATACGTTAAACGTTGAGGTACGTCATAAAATGGCACGCTCTATTTTACAAAGCAGGGAGCTTCAAACAAATGGCCTAAAATCTGCTCACATTTATTGTGTCCTTTGCAACAAGTTTAGTTCTGGTAGTGGTTCACAATCAATCTGAGAGGAAAATGAATGACGGTGTAATTTAAAAGTCAAAGTGAACAGTAAGTTGGGAAAATTCCAAAAAAAATTCAACTCAGTAGCTTTGCATTTGCAAGAGCACTTTTATTCTTGAACATCTAAGACAAGATGCAGGAGTAGACAGACATTATACTAACATTGCCAGATACTGTGTTTAAGAGGTTGTGTAAATCTTTAAAAAAAAAAGAAAAACAAAAGAAAAACGGCAACTCGGTGAATTTCAGTAGTCATTTCTTATAAATATTGAAACAACTTCCTCCTCCTTTTTCCATAGTAGTTTGACAAGTTTTATTTTCTTGTCCGTTTTCTTGACAGTATCAGTTTTCAGTCAGCAATGACACCCAGAAGACGGTCCATTGTATCGTGAGTAGCGGTTTGGGCGTGTGGGTATCACTGCAAGCCACGGCCGTCGTCAGGCTCTATCATGCCGGTACCTACGAGAACCTATGTGACGTGGACGTGACGCAGACAGTCTACAAGATGCTAGCTGGTGAGATTATTGGCTGTGATGTGTGCTTTGTGATGTATCGGAGATATAACTTTTGTTGTTATCCACCCCATGCAGGCTTGGGCATTAGCAGAGGTTTGGTGCTTAGAGGTGTGACATGTTGCTACTGGCTGCAACATTGTTGGTTGTGTTGGCAAAATCGTGTAACTGTTTCCAAGATATGTCAATATGAATAGTATAACCTAATGCCATACATGGGGTCCATTTCCCTCCGCAATTGTCGCTTTTGTTGGCAAAATTATTATTGTCAGGCAACGTATGCTACTCTGAGTAGCGCCACCAAATGTGTGATATGGGTCCTGTTTCTTCTGCATTGTACAGAGCACAAATGTCTATCGCCACTCCCCAGCCAGCCTAAGACACATGTTTAAATGAATTCCAAGAATTTCAACAACTTCATAGGTTTTTTCTCCTTGGTTTTGATTTGCAGGTTCAGACGCCATCATAAGACAGCACAAGGCAGCTTGCCTCCGCATCACAGCACTCCTCATATGCAAAGAGCTGCTCTGGGTGGGCACCAGCGCGGGCGTGGTCCTGACCCTCCCCCACCCTAAGATCACCACTGCCACCACCTCCGCCCGCGACATCTCCATCCCAAACGGCTCGGGCCAGGGCCACACGGGACACGTGCGATTCCTAACCGCCGTCGACATTCCATCGGGGAAGCCGCCGGCTCCCGTGCAGAGGAAAATCAGTGAGCAGGTGCAGGATCGGACCAGGGAGATACAGCCGCTGGAAAGGGAACAGCATCAACGACGGGCTTCGGCCACGGCCGCGATTGTCTCCAACATGATGGTCATCAGTGGAGGGGATGGGTACGAGGACTTTAGCGCGACGGCCCCGAACGAGGCCGCTGGAAAAGAAGACAGTACAAACCACTTACTACTCTGGCAAGTCTGAGTGCCAAGTTCAAGTTACGAGGACATCAGTGTAAAAAGTGACTGAAGTAAATTATGGAGATTGGTTGTTTTCTCAGCCAGTAATCTGATGATTTGGTTACACTACTGGTCCTTGGATATCAAGGCAGCTACAAACAGAAGGACGACGGTAGTAATGAGGGGCAAAGAATCCTGGCCTTTCAACTGGTGCAGTTGAGTCATGCTTAATATTTATTACTGGGCAAAGCAAAGTGAAATTGACAAATCTTTGGTATTCATGCTTTCATTTGGTTACACAGTCTGTGCTAGGTTAAAACAGGTAAGGGACAAATTGCAACACAATTAGAGTAGCAGGGATCAAATACTCTCGTTTTTCGGAAAAATTTAATTGATTTTCAGGATGCTTTTTAGATAAGGCTTTTTCCCCCTTCTCAATGGATAATGGACCACAGAGATAATAAGTTATTTTTGGAGGTTGTAAATATTACTCATTTTAAACTTTGTTCATTGATTTATCTACCCAGTGTTCTTCCTCACCTGCTTACTTGGCTTAGTTTTCTGACAAAACAGTTGCAACTGCACCAAAATACTTTGCATATTGTGCGCTTAAAAGCAATACATCAAAATGGTATTCCTGAAAATTTCTGAAATTTTCCAGCTAAGACCTATGGTGACACTTGTTTTTAGCACTTTCAAACTCCAATTGAGGGACACACCGCGAACTAGACGCAGGATTTATTTTATTCCGAGTGTACACAAACCCAGAGCATCTTTGCATGAGCCTCAAGCACCGACTGTATTGCGTCGGAATGTCACTGCACGTGGTCTCTCCCAACTCTTCATTTGCAATCGTTGAGGGGATAAACTTGTGCAGAGAGCCCTTATAATAACAAACGTCATAACATCCAGAATGGTACAAAAACATGGTGCAGAGTTCAGGCTCAGTCTTGATGATAGCACCCCAAAAAAACCACCTGTTTTGATTAGATATACTGGCATCAGAGTACCGATGTTTGAAACACAATTGAATGGACTGAATTGTACACGCTGTCTTGATTTTCAAATCCTCCTTCAGTAGTGCACTGACTGCAAGAAATAAAACTCTGAATTGTGATGACGACTTTACTGTTGAATAATTTAAACCACCACTTACTGTCAGACGTCTCCGTGCCGGTCGCGGTCAGTTTGTTTTATCAGTGGGTATGCACTGATAATATTAACGTTTACATTTATCCATTTCGTTTGTATTTAACATCATTTTACGTAGTTTACCTACAGTGGTTGGACGTGCACAGAACAGTATTCCATAGTATTTAACTTCCTTGTAATGCAAGGTTGTTCGTTTGTAGTCATGATATATCTTTCACACAGAATGTACTGAAAGTAAACAGTGTAGTATATACTGGGACTTTTCACTAACTGCTGCTTATGAGAGGATCAGATTGAAACTGATCATTTGTCAAATTTCAGCCGAACTTTAATTATTTATTCCAAAATTATTAAAACTGAATTTGGCCAGGTTCCCTTTGTAAAATTAAAATGACTTTTTTTTTTAAAATTCACTGGTCTTATATCATATTTACCGTGATCCCTCATTAAAACGATGATTTATTATAGCTTTAACCCCTGTGTTTTTTTGTGCTTTGGTCTGTAATTCCATTTGCACAATACGTCATGCTGAAATTTGGACAAAATATTGAGACGATAAATCTATTTATTCTAAAAGTTTACAAAAACAGTGCATATTAGACAGTGTCAACAATATTGTTGATAACGGATGATACTCAGGCAACTTTAAAAGGTATAATAGTTTACATAATTTAAAAAAATTGCCCACAATATTTTACAGTTATCTGATGTTAGGGACCATAAACCCTTCGCTTAGCTGCCTTATTTCTTCCCAGTAATATAATTGTTCTGTTAAAGTGAAGAGTCTTTTTGCAGCATTTTTCTTTAGAGTATAAAGAGATACAGATGTATTGTTTCCTTTGATAATAAATGTTTCTTTGGGGTATAAAGACATTTATTGGCCTCAGTTCAACGAATAGATCTGCAGCAGTCAATATTACTTATTAATGTGCTAAGCAAAAAGCAGCAGAGACCGGTCACTAGTACAATATATCACAGACATTTTGGCTGGTAACCAGTTTTTGGCTAGGGAATATTTTCTGTGCGTAGCCGCTGCCAAAAAATAGCACCCTATGTGTAAGCCACAAGTTTCTAGAATGGTTATCATTTAGCCAGGCTGTTTTATGAAACTAGCCTCAAATGAGAGGCTGTGTCCACAACAGGCTATTGGAGCTACGGCTATGTCTATTGTCAACTTGTTCCTACGTAGTTGTAATGGGCGAAGATCTAGCAAATAGCTCTAAAGTAGAGATTTGGTTGTGACATATTCTTGATTTTTAATCAAAAGAAAATCAAAATGGCAGCTAAAATTATAGAAATACCCAGAGCTCCTTAGTCGCAGGTTAACAGCAGCACAGTTTTAATCTTAAATATTCATCTTATGAGCTTTCGGTTGAACCAGTATTCCTGTTTAAATGTTTGTGTTTTGTTAGAGCTACTTGAAGAATGTGGATGTAAAAGACTCTGAGATGACGTAATGCTTATTTTACTATCATATGTGTGTATCTATAGACGATGTCCAGTTTTATATCAGACATTTATTATGTACTTTTGTGATGGCAATATACATTTTTAATCAAACAAAATTTAATCTGACAGTGTGTATGACAGTTTTTCCTAATTGTACATTTTACGACTAGTCAGATAGGCATATATGTAGAGAACCTTAGATTTTTGGAGCGAAAAAAAAAGTGGTTTAAAACCACGTGCTTGTCATGCAATTTTAAATTCTTAAGCTTTTAATCATTTCTGTGTCGAGTTTTATGTTAATTAAAAAAAAGTGGGATCTATAAAAATGTAATATTTAATCAAAACATTGAGAATGTTTTAGTTTTCAAAGCCGAGGGACCATCTTCTTGTTGCATCTTTATTTCCCCCTCTGTTCTTGTACTTGTATAGCGATTTCTCTTTCCTTTACTGACAGTTTTGTAAATGACAGGGCTATATATATATTTCATGTGTACCATACTTGATTCAAAGAACAAAATGTAAACCTAGAGTAACTCAGACAAACTCAGATTATCAATAATTACAAACCAGGTGCTGGTGTAAATGAGGGCAGTGTAGTTGATGCCATACAAGGGCCTTGTAGTTGATGTCAGTTTCGAACGATGGGTCAAGAAAGAGATATTTAATGTACATTAAACTTGTAAAATGTATGCATATTGTGTTTCAAGATATTTTAATTGTGCATTTTTATGAATAACTACACCGTGGCTAATTTATCTATGTTAACATTTTCAAAGGTTCATTTTTTTTTTCTCTGAATTCAGTCGTCTTCCCCCCCCCCTACCATTTTGGTATTGTGCGCACGCTCACAATGATATAGGTCACGGAGGGGTCATTCGGGATAAGCAAGGGCATATGAACGCAAAGGGAGATGGGAAGAATTGGTATTCCCGTCAGATCATGTCAGCGATTTTATCCCAAATGACCTTTGACCTGGATTAGTTCATCGAAATACCTAACTGGCTTATTGCTATTTTCCCCTGCTTGTTTGCGCTGCCAAAATATTTTTGGTGCAAATAAAATATGTTGCTTTTGAAAGAGAAAAATACAGCTTTTTTTGGCAGAGAAAAAACAGCAGCTATTTCAATTTTGATTCTGATAATTTTTTTGAAATACATTTACTTAAAAGATTTGCACAAAATTACTACATAATTATAGACAATCAATAACCAAGATTTCTTATTAGTCCTCCAACATTTGATAGCCGTTCGTCGATGATAATCACACATTCCGGTCATTTCCACGACAAAATGGTGAAATTATGAAGTTTTTAAGCCCAAAATTCCTCTTAGCGTCGATGGCTGCAGTGGGCTTCCGTACATTAAAGTTTTGTATGACGTCATTCTCGTAACTGATCCGGGGTATGACGTCACCGAATAAAATGGCTTCTGGTACGGTGCGCTTGTGATTTCGTCTGCTGGAGTTTCAGGGAAAAAGCGGAAATATGTGCGACGTTCGTGGAATAAATTGTAAGTATAACTTGAAAGTTTGAGCGTCCCTTTCATGTAAATCGACTATTGAAGTGAAATACGTCATGTTTTATTCAATAGGGCTAACCATGTTAACCAAAATAATTTTCAAAATGTCCGCCAAAATGACGGCAACCCGTCGTGACGTCAGGTGTCGTGCCTGTCGTCTGCGCTGTGTGTTCGTTTGAGTCTTAGTTCACTTTTCCTCATTATCTAAGATGAAGAGGTTTGGAAGGTTTCCTTGAAGTGATAGCCAGTCGTATGTGTGACAAGAGGTGAATGCGAATTTGTTCAATATATTTTCCCCAGTTTTTGGGGAAAAGATAGAAAGAATTGATAGGCCTACAGTTGAAAAAGGGGTTTCTCGATACGATGCTCGGCGTATCTGCCGCACGCATGACGGATTTGTTCGTCTATAGAATATAGTCGTGTTCCCTAAAGTGGCGCACTTCGAAGCTTACCCGACTTTCTTCGTTAAGTGTTGCCAAACCTCTTTGTTGACAAACCTCAAATTCATGCAGTAAAATACTAGTACTTTTACCTTATTAATGCTTGCTATTTAACCTCTGTGAACAATTTCGGTTTCATAAAATTTTATCCGAAATTCAGAAACGGTGGCGTCCGGAAATTGGACACAAATCGGCGGAGTGTTCCCTAACGTGGCGCACTTGAATAAATCTCGGAAAATTCCAAATTAACATTAAGAATTTCTGTAAACTTGATAAATTCTGATAAATAATTATTATCTCTACTTACATACCCAACCAGATGTTTGTCAGAAAATTATTTTCTTATTTTTCGGGGCATTTTCAAAGGGTTCACTTTGCACTTGAAAATAAAATCGGAAAATCACGCCAAACGAAATTTTTCTTGTAACTTTGTTACGGGGAAATAAACTCGCGCCTTTTTAACAGGAGTGTTTGATGAAATTTCACTTCAAACTTTTGCTCTAGGTATAGGCGCTACAGGCGAAAAATCAAAGTGCGCCACGTTGGGGGCCGCGCCACGTTAGGGTACATCAACAATATAACTTTATTCAATATAACAATATAACATCAACAATATAACTATATAAGGCATTTTCTGGAGAAAATATTGGCCTCCAAACTCGGTTGGAAGAAAGAGGGACCAATTAAGCCTTTGTCGCTGAGAGCAATGATTTTCGATTTTTTTAAATTTTTTATCACTCCAGACCACAGCTTGAAATTCAAGTGAAGGGTATTTTGAGAAATAAATCCAGTTAATTGAGTCTTAATTTGTAACTGGATTTTTTTTAGGGTGTAACTTAGGCTTAATATAAATTGATTGACTGTAACTTCAATTATTAACGGCTAAATGAGACTGATAAATAATATGTTGGCAAAGATTGGATTGCATTACATTCTTCTGCAGAGCGTCCGACCTCAGGTCCCTTGGGTGGCGATTATCCTGAAAATGATAGAATACACACGTCCTAAAACACCCTTGGATTGGCACAAAAGCTAAATAATGAGTTAGCCGTGCGGTGAAGGCGCACGGCCTTGCTTTGGCTCTGATTCTCTTTTTTTTCCCCCCAAGTTTTTTTGTTTGTTGTAGATTATAGTGGCTGCTAGAGCTACATAGCAGATGAGATATGTTAGCGCCCTCTTTTGACAGCAGTGATAAATAATCATGTCATTTTCGCTTCCCAGATCAAATAGTTACATTACTCCATTAACAAAAATAACGGAAAATTTGCAGATAAAGAAGAGCAAACAAACCAATCTTTTTTTCATGCTGTGCATTTATTTATTTCATTATTATTATTTTAGTTTGGAGGAGGGGGGATGAAAGAACCTTTTATATTTTCGACAACAGAAAACCCAATCACAAATCTAGGACCAGGACGCATATTCAATCAAGAACTAAATTGTACAACCAATGAAAGGAACGAAGCAAAGACAAAAACTATCTTCAATTTCTAACCAGGGTTTTATTCTGAACACTGAGTACAAATTTATTTGAATCATAACAACTTCATGTTTAGTTCTGCATAACCAATGGGTGTCCCAGCACATAGAAGTAATGCCATTTCCATAACTTAAAATCCGTTGTAGCATAGTATAAAAAAGGTTAAAATGTGGATGTTACTTTTTGGTGGATAGCAGTGAAACATTTTTGCAAAGAAAACCAAAAAAGACAAAACACGCAAAAAGTTTCAATAATAGTACACAAATTTGGTGGGAAAGAACTATTTTAAAGCTCTTTTTTGTTCAGAGCTGATATAAAGTGTGACTTGGATTTTCTCCACTTTACCTGCTTTATTTGCTTAACAAAACATTTTGTTGGGGGAGGAGGCTTTACAGAATACATAAAAGAATTTGTACAGTGTTTTTCAATTTGTAATGGCATTCATGAGAAGTAAAAACGAGCAAATTAGCGGATCCGAGGAAACGTTGCATGCTGGTTGAAAAAGTAATTTGCACTATTATGACAACTTTTCTTGAAGTTGTACCATACACCTCTTACAAACAAATACCAGATAACAAAAAAAAGATTCTACCCTTTACAGTTGTTGATGGGAGGATATTGGTTAAACAAAACATTTCTTTATAAACCCGGGTTTCAGCATATGCTCCATATTTGCCTTCCTCATTGCAATTCTCAGTTTGATGTAATGTAAATTCTATTCTATTGTACAGAAAAGCCGGTATTATGGAAATAAATGTTGAATGAATGAATTGAATAGAATATCTGGACCCACAAAGTAGGGTAACGAAATATTTCTCTTTTTTTAAAGTAAAAATAAGCAAATTATAATTATGCAGTATAACAACTACTGCCCTACATTTTTGTACATCATTTAAAGTTTATGTACATCATTACATCAATCATCATCACATGATGACAACTTGACTCTTCTCTTTAAAAAATAATGTATGTCACTTGTAATATCTCACCTTTGTACAAATTTCTTCCGATATTTTTATCAGAAGATCACAGTTGAAATAAATAATGATACAATCCACTTTTTACATGGTTGTTAAACACTGAACAGTACCTGTGAACTTACTATAGGTAGCAATGCTGAGTGGTTGAAAGATTTCAAAAAAGACTGGGATCATGACTTTGTGCACAACATTTCATATAATTTTGGGAAAATGAAAACAAATGCTTCTTTGTTTAAAAAATAAAACAAGTCAGCAGTTCTATGGATTATTTTTTTCAATTCACGACCGACCCGCATAAGATAAAACAGTGCTCATTTCTATTCTGCCACTGATACTTGCACATATGATATCATTTTTGTAGTGACACACGGAATGTGTATATTTTGGTGTAAATGGCTAAACGACCAGAACCTACTGCATCGACAGCTATGAAAATAAATTAGTACCATATTGCATTTTTAAGTCTCACGCTACAGAACTAAAATGCGACCATGATACTATGAAGCGAAATCCCTGCTCACAAAAATCATAATGCTCAAACTCATTCCTGATAGACCTTAGTAATTTATTTTTTTCACAATGCCTATAGATCCCAGAAATACAAAACTATTGCCCTCGAACTCCACATTCAGCATAATGTCTATACTCACCAAAATATAGTACAACTAAGGTGATGAGGTGTAAAGGGCACAAACATGATGAAGAGCAAAGAGTGATTTCACACATATTTAGTTATCTGTGAAAGTACATCAATCTGGCTTGAGGATGGAGACCTTTGGTATAAACTCTATCTTTAAAACCTAGAGATGGGAAAATATGGGGAAGAAATTTTATCAGAGTCAGAACATGGCACAACTGTTTGGTTCAGTTTTAACATAGGTGAGCATGACTTGTAATGTGAAAAGGAGTGATTACATATGAAGAGTTCATTTTCAAAAACAGTTATCTCTATGTTTCACCTTTTGAGAAAATCTGCTTTAAAACATCACAGTGCCCAGTACTTGTGCACAAAGATGGACTGCCTATTGCATCATATCTAGAGAACTCTTGACAATTTTTATATGAAAAAAAAAATATGAATTAGGTGGACGGATTTTCTCCATTTATGCCAAATTGGTGTTTATTAGCTTTGCAAATGAACTCTTCATATGTTGCTTGACCTTTCATTTGACATTCTGCAATCCACAATTTGAACATTAACAACATCAAATGGATCTGAGCTGTTGCTTGCTGATCAAATGTCTAGAAGTGATCTAAAATAAAAAATCTGGTCAAAGTTGTCAGTTGTGGAGCACTGTGGTCCAATGGTTACGGTGTTCGACTCACGTGCCGTGGTACGTGGGTTCGAAACCTAACGGGGAACATGGTGCTTGTGTTCTTGGGCAAGACACTTTACTACAATTGCCTCTCTCCACCCAGGAGTATAAAGGGGTACCTGTGAAGGTAGAGACTAGAATGCGCTGATATAGAGCTGCTGCAAAAACTGGTCTCATGACCTGATGAACAGGGGTAATAATTGTAAAGTTCTTTATTACATTTGGTATAAAGCACTATAAGCACCACATTATTATCATTATAAAGGGCATGTTGACAGCTCTAAGTAATTCCAATCAGGATGGTGATATCAAAAGAAAGGTATTGAATCCTATTATTACAAAGATGCTCAGACTATGATAGTGCATGTCCCATGGACTTGGACAGGATCAGCTTTCTTTGCTTGTTAAGTTGTTCTGTCTCCGTTTATGGATTTGAAGTGTACTTACATATTCCATCATATTACTTGATTCACATTTCTCTTTGGATAGAGACCAGTGCAGGCCCAGTTTGTGGTACATCTTGCTGTTCTCCCAGTCGAGTGCTTTCTGTACCATATGTCTCGTCTGTAAACATCAATAATCAATCAAACTTTAATATCATTTAAAACTTAAGTACACGATTTTGGAAAATTGGACTAGTTAGCAACATACCAGTGAAACTACATATGCACCTTTGTAGGATTACTGTTAAAGCATCAATTTCAAATGTTTCAAATCAGTTCCAATCCATTATGGGATAAACTCTGACTTCACTACAGTGTGCATTTGTGCCGGACAAAGAAGAATAAACAGTTTAGGTTTTTCAAACAATGGAGAACATTTAATTGATTAATTCAATTTTGATAATGGTTTATATCAATAAAAATCAGCATTGAACCTCACAGCCTGAATTACATGATTTTACACACACACACATCTAATAAGACAACTAAAACTTAAACAATATAACATCTACTTAAGCCCAAAATCTAAAACCTGTTCCAAATCTGTCTTTGATTTTTCTAGAATTCACATTTTACAAATTCACATTTTACAATTCACATTAAGGTTGAATCCAAAGTGCATTTAAATTGCTTACCATGTACCGGCGAAACCAGCGGCTCTTGCTGGTAGACACCTACTAGTTTCCTGAAAGTTCTTTAGCCTTAGTCAAGGCATTTGTCGATAGAGTTTACGTTAGTGGTCAGATACCACCATGGACACTATCGATGAATGTCTTGATCAAGGCTAAAAAGTCTTCCAATCACAGATCATTAACGGTTAACCACACCATCTCACCCTTTTAGTCAGACACACGACGGGCCAGAGTGAGCACCCCAGCGTGCAGCAGCAACATAAACATCCACACACCAGCCACTTGAGTGTCATCGGCATCGTCTTGTGGAGAACGGCATTGATTCGCTCCACAGTACCTTTGAATTCCTCTGGCGCAACCTGAAAGAACAAGTAAAGGTAACAAGAAGGCAATTCTATTATTTCAAATGCAAAGGTTTAATCAGAAAATATGTATTGTAATCCTGATTGTAATTTGAATGGTTATCCTAGAGTCAGTTCAATATAAGTGTATTACTAGCAATAGTAAGTTACTCATCTGTAAAAATGGTGAAAAGTACACACCCTATATTTCCCCTCAATGTATTTACTATTTATAATAAAGAGAAAACATGATCCAAATTTACTAAGTGATAAATTCAAAAGAGGAAATGATATAATACATCTCCACCATTAACAGTCAACATGGTTAACATAAACTCTCTTCAGCTCTACCGCTTTGAAATAACTTCCATCAGTGTTACAATATGGAGCCAGGCTGACTGTGAAATATGCCCCTTTCTCTATGATTAAACCCAAGGGTCTAAATAAATGTCCTTTATGAATATGATCAACAAGTTTATTTACCTTTGCTGCAAGTTCTTGTAGGAATTCCGAGTTGAATTTATTACTCAAACCAAATCTGTCCATGAAAAGAAAACATTAAGGGATATGTAGAAGTCACTTTACAATGTCATTATTTTCGGAGAGAATGTAGTATCCAGACGCCATTTCTTTGGTTGTGTGTAAAGTCTACGGAGAGTCGAGTGCATTTGCAAAGTATTTTCCATCAAAATTTGAAATGTTTCTTAATCTTAGTCCCATATTCATGTCTTTTCAACATTTTTGCAATGACTGACCTTCATTGAGACAATATATGATGAAAAAAGTGGCGTAAGGATGAAACATTCTTTCCTCGTTTTCATATGGCTGGTGTTGACTTTACCTTCGTATTTTTAGTAAAACAACCAATTAAAAAAGAAAGAAATGTGATTTCATTTGTCTGTCCGGAAACTGGACAGGTGTGAGCATGACAAAGCGATCGTTATTTATCGTACATCACAAACTACAACAAGAACTTACATTGTTACATGACCCGATCCTCTGACCATCACAGGGTCCGGAACGTGACTTACTACCGTACTTTCGGAGTATTCCCCGTTGAAATCGGGGTCCTCTGCGTACTCAATCGCATCGAAATCGGCCATACTGCTGTTTTTGTTGTCCGATTGCGCAGCGGAAGTTAGGGCGCCCTCTCGCATGCTAAATCCGGCAACGAGTAACTTCAGCTTTCACGACTCAGTGTTGGTCAATGCTTGTCAGATTTGAAATAGTTTTTAACTTGAAGACGCAATAAGAAATTTAGTAATGAGTATTTCGTACTAAGAAAATAATACGGACAAAGACGCCTCCGTCAGCGTTTTTATTCACTGGTTCCACGTACGATGACAACCTTACCAGGTGTTTGTACAGAGAGTGATACAGATACAGATACAGATTAACGCATTGATCGTTATTATCTCTCGTGTACTGAATTTTTGCAATCGTCTCTCAAAAATAAACCACTGCGAAGTGTGAACATAACTTCATTATTAATTATTCCTAATAAATTGGAAACATCCTATGTTTAGCAATAGCCATTTATTCATGATATCCGAATGCAGAATGGCCATTGCCCGCACTAACATTGCTTAATATTACCAAAGGCAGAAATGGATTTTACTCGTCAAACGGGTAACAAGGACAATTGCTTTACTCAACAAACTTAGAATGAACTAGAACAATAATACATTGGTTTAATTAAGCAAGCAAACAAGCAAGCACCTTTAATTACAATTGTTACTATTCTACGACCCATCCACAACGATGTTTACTTACATTATATTTATTATACTGTATATGCCTACTTGGGTTGATATACCGGTACATGCTTATGGTATGTCCTGTTTATGCAGCTCCACAATTAAATCATGGTAACAAAACACTTAACGATTAAAATATAACAGAGAAAGCAGTATCTACAGCCACAACTAAACTTAAAACATTTAAAGATTGCAAGTGCTAATAATAATCAGCCTTAAAAGCTCCAACTTTTTGGGTTGCAGCACAATAGCCTGTATCGTTTATCCAATAAAATACATGTACCATCAATAAATCGTTGTAAGATGGCATGATACGAGGAAATAGGGGCTCATATAAGCACCTTCCGTTTGAATTAAACAAATAAAACCAAGTTGTGGTTGTTGCGCTTTTGCTTGCGGGCTAATCAACTCTGGCAAGGAGTGTATGCCTATGTGGCCAGACTGATACCCAGCAGGGTGATAGTGCAGCAAGCGCAGCAGCAGCTCACGATGAAGAAGATGTACGCCAATGTGATGATCCAGAAGGCGAAGTAGTAGAGAGGCGGGTAGCAGTAACGGGGGCTGGTGGGATCGTCGTCAGGACGGAAGTTGGCATACACCCAGACATTACCTGTGTGTATAACAAACGGATATTTCATGAAAATTTATGAGAGGTTAACAGTTCGAATTCCCCCTTGCTCAATGCTTGTGGCCCTGTGCACCCTGAGTAAACAAAACATGTCTGTTCACAAGCAGGACTTGTTCTAAACTCATCATTCAATCAATCGGCTCAAAGTTTATAAAGCATGGTAAGAAACAAGCTACATTTTGTGGGTCCATGCTTCACTCTTTAAAATATCGACAATTGATATCCCATCACGTTTGCATCCTTTTACAAAAATTGGTCGTCCTTGAATCATTTACCTAGGATGAAGAAGACCAGCAAGATGCAAGCGAACAGGCGGCTGACGGAGTTCTCCCTGAGGTAGGAGCTCTCGGCCGCTCCGCCCTCCTTGCGTCTCCGGTACCTCACGGCCAGATCCAAGATGGTCTTGACGATGTAGACGGAGCCGGAGACGATCAGGAAGATCGGGATCAGCCTCTGCACGGGGCAGTCGTCGATGTGCACGGCACCTGTTGCGGGACGGTAAGTTCAAAATTATATCGTTTCCTTTTTTTTTCTGTCTGAAATCGTTTTCTTTTTTTTCTGTCTGAAGTAACTTTACATATTCTTCTCAAAGCTGGAATGGAAACCCACAAGTTTTCTTTGCGATAGTAGAACAATGAAACATCTCCTCTAACCACAAGACACTCCAAAACGTACGATCAGGGATTGGAGATAGGATCACTGAAGTTGTTGAATTTCGCAACACCCCCCTTTCGGGTTTCCCCTCCAAGACTTTTGAAACTAACCCCGGCCATCCCACCCCATTCTCACTGTAAAATTGTTCCCTCGTATCATAAAGTAAACTGTACCATTATCGTGCATGCATACATGGACTTCCATTTTTATTGAAGAGTAAAACGTACCCATGACGACCATTGCGATTGGAACTATGAGTATTACTGCCATCAGGATCGTAAATGCAACTGGAATAAACATAGAGAAAATGCGTTAGTTCGTTCTGCACATACACTGTACATGTTAACCCGAGCTTTTCCCGTGAAAACTTTGTGTACGAAAATCAATGAGAGCACCTTTAAGAACGTCTTTGAATACAAGTTGATAGATAAAGATAGTTTAATGGGGCAAGCACGTTGGTTACTTTGAACGCAAGCTGTCTCAAAGTGATGTTACTAACGTGGTAAAAGTTGTACTGAATAAACTTGCATCTATTTCGAAACCCTTTTTAAAAAAGTTTATTTATTTATATAACACCCCGTTACACACCTTTCCCAAATGAGTTTATGGCCCTAAACACCCTCCTGCGTGCCTTGGAATAGACGGGTCCATTACGCCCCGCCCACTGCGCACGTGGGCAACAACACGTGCCCTTGTCCAATGCATGCTCCAGACGCGCGCGTCGTATGCAAAATACTTTTGTCGAACTTAAGCATGGCAGTGATTGGTCAAAGGATATCATGGGGCGTGGCTTAATGAATCGGTTTGGTTTGCTGCTCACTTGTGTTGATGAGTATCGTCAGTATCTTGGTGATGAAATCCAGAGTACCACTCGAAGTCTTCTTGGCATCTTTCAGCTCCTGCATCACGGAGGAATAAGATGGAGGTTCTGGAGAAAAGACACACAAACAATGAATCGTACAAAGAAGACAGTTTGATGTTATTCATTCAACTTGTTTTCACAAAGCTATGTGCCAGCGCATCCTGCATTGAAATTGCTCCCTCCCAGGCTGTAAACATGACCACATAAATAAGTACAACTTTTCCTGAATATAAACAAAAACAAAGGAATAGGCCTAAAAAAAAATTTTAAAGTCTGAAAAGAAGATTGAATGCAGATTACCCGAGTACGGGTCATCGAAAATCTACACTCTTGCAGGTAAATCTATAGACCCCGCAGGTGGAATCATGTACAGCCATCTTTTCCAAACGTAAACAAATGAAGAACTATTTTGTAGATTTGGACCCTGGTGCTCGTTATAGCATCCCCCTTCAACTCCTTATGTTAAAAAAGTTATAATTGGCCTATGTTTGGCAGTAGCAAGCATTGCATTTCATGTGCCGTGTTAATAACACTCATGTGTTAATAGCAAACCATGTGTCAATGGCATTACAGCATTTTACATGACAATTGGACTGGTGTAACTTCGGTAAAGCAAAACTTTTCTGGGCATTGAGGGCGGATACCATGAAATAAACCGAACGTTGACTCTTAAGATAAAATAGTCTTCTGCACATGCACGTTGCTTTTATAATCTGTCATAGGATAGGCCCTAGCATTTTGAGGCTTTTTTTGCCCAAACACCTGTGACAGGTGTTTCACATTTATCGCCCTTTGATTTCTGAGATACAAAAAAGACGCAATGCGTCTTTTCTACTCGCCTGCACAGAATGCGCCAACACTTTTCTTTCTAAAGTTTCACGCGACGTACGAGAGGCGAGAATGGACCGATCCAGTAAGCCCCTCCCACTGCGCACGTGGGCAAATTAACACGTGCTCCTCTCCAATGCCACATTGCATTTTCCTGCCGCGCGCATCATACGCGCGTGCACGCATGTCGGACTTTTGTACACGCATGTCGGACATAAACCACGGCTGTGATTGGTCAGAATACCATGGGCTCATAAGTTTTCTGCCTTTTCAACTTCATTATCCGGTTCGTTAGTGTGACGTCACCTCCAGCACTTTCTGCACGATTGGAACCGGAAGTTAACGCAGCTCTAGCGTTTGTAGCGAATGGGCGCTAGTAATCAGTGGTGCGCGGGCGTGTATGACGTTTTTACTAACGAACCGGATGAACGATACTATGCAAGTGAAATAGCTTTGGCGTGCTGGTATTCCGTGTTTACATGCTAAGGCAAACTGGAGATGCAACAATGGCTAAAACCAGGCTCTTTCTGAAGTTTTGAGGCTTTTTGACTACAAAATGATGTTGTTTGGTAAGTAGCGTTTTTTGCAAATGCAATGTGGTAGGCCTTTCACTTGCAATGCCAACGACTTAACGCTTTATGAGCATTACATGCCGGTCTGCTGTGGTACATGCGTTTTCCTCATTATGTTCATAATGAATACTGGATAGTCACTGCCTCGGCATTTTGGTCGCCACCATGACGAAACATGAAGGGGGAAAAACAGAATTTATGACCTCACAATAATTTGCAAATATCAATTTCCTCGTCGCTTCATACATAAATCACTGAGGAGGATCATTTTACAATTATTGTTCCATCTTCTGCCCCGATAATAATTAATTGAAAACATGCTGCCATTGGATTCATAGTCTGGCTTTACTGGGAGCTGTATGGTCTATCTGCCTCGGCATCTGTGGGATAAATTACTCCACTGCTGGCATAATTGGAAAGCAATTTCAAAATGCTTCATCATGGCAGCATTATTAAAGACCACATAAGTGTTGTATTTCCCAAACTAGAAAGCACTCAGAGAGCGCAAACCTCCGTCAAGGCTAAAGAATTCCCCGCCATATTGTCAGTACACCCAAAAGAAATATATACTCGCATAAATGGTGAAGCATCCTTTAAAAAAAAAAATCCTGGATCCAGACCCAGGTCCGGATTCGGATCACAAAATCCAATCGATTTGTACTTGTAACAAGGATCCGGCCCTAACATTTTTTTAAATGCAAATCCGTCCATAAATTTTTGAGCAATCTTGTTAACAGACAAAAAAACAACAACTTGACCAACCAACAAACCAACAACCTAACCAATGACAATGAAGTCAACCTCCTTGGCGGAGGCGTATATGGCGGAGGTATATAACGAGGTAATATGCAACGCAAGCACGGTTTGTGCACTTGAAAATATTCTGTATCATTTTAAGGGACATGTGCATTACAAGAAATTGTCGATATGACAAAAGGATTGTTTTTGTTTATTTATATAAGCGATTTCGCTATTTGAAAAACATAAGAGTCTTCAGATTTTTCCATGTAGGCCTATTTAAAGAGAATGTTTTTTTTTAAAGAGAAGCTTTTAAAACCGAGGTTTTCCTTTAAACATGAGAATTCCATCTCGATCCTAACAATACGATGTCCGAAATTCAGAATTTGAAAACTGAAGCTGAATTTAACAGAAAAGGAGAACATCAAAAACAAGGCCTTTTTCAAATCAATTTAATAAAAAACAACATTATCGTTCATGATGAATTAGCACAGCGTTAAAGTGTTTTGCATTTTCCCCACAGAATATAATTAAAAATTATTCTATCAATAGTTCGTGGTTGACTACCCATGCCAGCCGACATAACCATTAATCATTCAGACATGTAATCATGCTGCTTCATTATAGTTTTCCTTCAAAAAATAATTAAATTCCGATTCCACCGAAATAGAGAATTAAAAACCAAAGACTCACGCAAAGCCGTTTTGATTATGATTATGTTTTACCTTGCAACTATGCACCAATAATCACGATTCCTTATCTGGAGGACATGCAACTCTGACCATGCATTCAGTTTTAACATCCGCTCGAATTACGATTAAAATATGCAGACTAGTCGTAAATATTTTTGTCTGAACTCAGTTTCGTGTATATATTCATCGTCTCGGATTGCTTTTTTAGTCGGTTTGCGTGTTCACGTACTATTTATGCTAGGCAAAATTGATATGACTTTCTCGGGTAAGCCAAACGGGTGGTTTTTTTTTTTGGGGGGGGGGGTCAGTTTTGGACCCTTTTGAGTGTAAACCAAATCTGTTTTCGTCAAAAATAGAAATTGGGGCAAAAATAGTGCAAGGGGTAGTGTGGAGAATTGGAAAAATCAATGCAAAATCCATTTAAATTGTGAAATATGTATCCGTGGCATGCATGGTCGTTGGAATTTTTGATATGGAAAAGTATACATCGTAATGTAATTTTTCTCGTACCCATGCAGGTTAATTCCCGGAACTGCAGGTAATTAATTTGAAATGCATCACAGAACAATGATTTCGTCGTTCTCATCAACGTGTCTATATGTTCGTTGTTTGTTTGTTTGTTGGTTGGTTGGTTGATACCTTTTGAAAAACGAACAAAACAGATATCGTGTAAACATTTTACCATCTCCTGGCACTTCGTCAAATGGTGGTGGCTTTTCCGTGGCTGAGGTGTCGGCCGACCCATAAGTAGGCGCCTCAGCGTTGGCATCGGCGCCCACCAGACCTTGCTCTGCGTCAGCCTAGAAAGGGAAAACGCCCCCCAAAAAATACGAATTTGTCAAAACTTGTGATTGCGTTGAGAGATTCTGTCAAGATGGAACCTGTAAATTTAAAACGAAAAAACAATTTTGGAGAAAAACTTTAATTTTGCAGGAGAAAGGCACTCGAGCGAAATACTTCCAAAAACAACTAATTTAAACCATTAGATATGACGCTTCTTGATGGTTTTTATCTTATTTTACTGCTAGTAAAGTGTCGACAAAATATATACACGAAATTTTTCAAAGTGAAAAAGTTACGCTTCAACGATTTGCCCGCACTTCTTATTTTCCTAAAAAAAAAAAAAATTCCACGACTGGAACAGAAATCGGAGCAAGTTTTGTGCTACTTTGTCATAGTCAAAAATTGCATTGTTCATTATAAATACACAATATACAAATTGCAATCAAGCTTCTGCTGTTGTGGTCACTTATTGCTCAATGAGCAGTCATTATGATCTATTTCCATAAGCTTCATAATCTGTGCTGTATGTTCAGATATGATATAATTTATGAAACTCATATACATGTGTATACATATATGTAGATGCATCCAGGATACGGCTCATAAAACTTGATTGCCTGCCATAAACAACCACCCTCCACTGAGCACGGAGAACTTGAATATTTCACTTGCATGCAAATCATATTCCGAATCGTACAATTTATTTAAGGTCGATACGCATTGTTTTCACATATTATTTGAGACACTTCTGAAGGTACGAACTAGCGATATAGCAATGTTTCGGTCACATAATGGGAAAGTGTATTTACTTTGTGAATGCATACAGGGGTTGTTATATTGTTGCTTCAACGTGAACTCCGTCTACAAAATAAGAAAAAGTCAACTGTCTGAAACAATTCCCCATCCAAAATACACACGACTGAAAACAAAAAGTTTGTTCAAGAGCAAAATGAGGACCATGCACTTGCTATATATGTTTATTGATGAGAATGAGGTGACAGAACCTCGGCCCATTGCAAAAAGCAGTTTATAAAAAAAAAAAACCATGTAGGCCTAGTGATTTTAAACTTGAATTGTGTATTTCATTGGAACTCTCTATTCCTGAAAATCAGTCAAATTTTGGATTAAAATAGGCTCTGAAAAGGAATCAATCCATTGGAAACGCTGGTGATAGATTTTTATTCAGCCCTGACAACCATCTTATTTTGCCAACAACCAACCAACAAATGCGGGACACAACCGTGTAGCTACAGCAGGTTCTGTAATGTTAAAAACAATGCGTTCTTTATATGCTTAAACGCGGCTTGGCATAGGTCTACACCATAAACCATACACCAAATATTATTTGTCGGCAATATGGTATACGTGCAGCTCAACAGCTACTATTTTTTGAAGCACAACATCATGGTGTGAACAAATAATGGTAATAAAAAAATGCTGAAAACTAGTACTAGAAAGTAACATTAATTTTGTAGTTTGATCAAAAATCTTACCATTGTTTCCGGTGGCTTGGCGCTGACCCGCGGTTTTCAATCTCCTATTCAGCCCGAACTGAAACGTCACTCCCTCCCTCAATAATCGCCGTATATCTCGCATCTGGACTACCCTGGTTGACATGAGATGATTGCTGCTCGCGACACAGTCTGTTGCTCCCGTAATGACGGCAAAGTAATTTGAATAAGCGCAGAACAGACCAATGAGAGCCCAGAATTTTTATGCGCGTGTGATTATGACAAAGCCAGCGTGTCATATGATCCAATCATTGACCTTTATGATAATTACGTCTGGGCTCTCGAATGAAAATCATAAAAGAAAAACCAGCAATATTCGCCATGCATGCAGGAGCAATCAAGGCAATGGAAATCTTCATTGTCCTATTGATGATTTTTCCCGCATATAAATTAGGACAATGAAACAAAACATTGCTTAGTAGTCCGACCCGCGAGCCTATACAATTCAGTCAGTATTTGAATCTACTGACAGGTCTGTGACACCATTAACAATATTCTGTCTGAAACATAGATTATGTATTCGACGAGGCACCATATGGTGCGTTTGCATTGAGAACTGCTGCACAGAGACAATGTGAAACACCCCCAGCATGCAATGCATACAGCCTTCACGGGCTCACAATAATATATTTTGTAAAAAAATAAATTCACGGACGAATAAAAAAACTACCAGTGTTCATATCCAACATCTGGGTAGGATTAGGAGGGTGTGTGACTAAAGTAATTCATTGATATTTCTCCCAATTATATATCCAACACAATGGTGCATTTTGTTCCCTCTGCATTTTGACAATCAAGTGAGACACTATGTAACTCGAAAAACCAAAATCCCTGATTACATTTATCCTTCGGATTAATTTATTCGAGACAAATGTGTTGCATGAGCTACCAAATAAACAGGTCAAACTGCATACCTGCATTTTTTTTTCAAATAAAAAAAACGCACAAAATATACTGCCAGCTTGATTTTGTTATTTCTTTATTTCTATACTTTATATATACCTTGTTCGTTGGGGCCCAGTTAAAGGGCAATGATTTTATATCGCCTGGATACCCTTTTGCATTGATAATGAATCAAAACAACAAAGATTATCCTCCGAGACACCCGAAACGTAAAAGGTTTGTTTAAAATATTGAAGGAGATAGCATAGTAGCAAAACGTCTATTATATTATTTCATTTCGATGCTATAATATAGTATGAATATAAGCGTACTACTCAACCCGTAGCGGAGGAAAAATAGAACAAACAAGCGATAAAATATTTGGAAGTAATTATTTACATCATAAAATCAGTGCTGCATTCCTGGGCCAGCCAAAGGAACGGAAGACCATTTCATTAAAAGTTCACATGAATTGCCAATTTCTGAAAACGATTCAGTACCTATCTTGTTTCCTTATTCCTAACTACTTGCTCAAACAGAGGTTTCTTCGCCAACAATCATATTCCTAAGCGTTAATCAAATTCAATATCATTTAAATTCACGTAATACACAACTAAGCTTAGTAGATACTACACTTTATTCAAAAGAAGCAGGTCTACTTATATTATAGCATTAAAAATGTTCAAGTAATTTTCTCTACCCTTCTGCACATTTCCAGACCAGCAGGAATTGGTACTATTTTGCTACAATCGTTATTTCACATTTTTATCTGAAACAGTTAAAAGATTTTAGACCTACATCATATGGTGGCCTTATGCCTGCTGCAGGAACTGTTAAAGTGGATACAATTTCCCTCAGTCATTGCAAGTTACACGATAGTTAATCAGATTTAATGCAAGTAAAAGGTAACAACGAATTAATAACCATCCTCAATTAATATTCAAACAAATACGCCTTTTTCCCCCTTAACATTCACTTATCAATTGCATAAATTTGCATAGATATTTGTTAGAACAGAATAATATTTACGTGGTATATCATTTACATGCCCAGAAATCTTGCGCAGTGGATCAAAATTGATTACTAAACTTAATCTTACTGGCTAGCAACGGATACAGGTATTCAAGAGAACAGATGCCATTTAATACCATTTTTACAACTTTTGAAACCGGAACCTAAATATGGTTGAAATAGACTCCGGCAATCAAAATTAAATTTGGCAGAGTCCCTCATTTAAATGCACCTAATACGGACGACTACAACCGCCACCAAGCAGTAAAAGTATTCTTGTAACAACCAAAACATACTTTTAAAGTAGAGACTATACTTTGAAATAACATAGGAAGTGATGGTGTTAGATATCTTGATGATTTTAATAGAACCTTCAAAACAAGAAGTAAACTTTTATACAAAAAATAACCTAATACATGTACATATTATGAAGAGCTGTGAAAACAAAGAATCAATTTCGGATTTTAAAAAGCGCTATGAGGATCTTCAAGCTAATTTTTACTTTTGAAAAATTTAATCTCATATAAAAATAGATATGTAGAAATACACTTCCACTAATCATCTCAGCCTAATGACGTTTTTTTTTTCTGATTTAAAGCAGACACAGACTTGGAAGAAACCTATTTCAACATCTAACCCTGTGACATCCTCATGAAAAAAAATCTCAGGATTTTGTTTTGGATAAAAGGAGCACTCGACCGGAGAAGAGGCAAGCACACCAACATCAAATGAAGGTAAGACAGAATATATATGTCTAATTGTTTTCCCCCGATACATGATCAGGGGTCAATTAGACAGAGCTGCTGAGCTATAAGGTGAAAAAGTTTGCAAAGCACAAAAATATTTCCTGAGCAAAAACAGGTTACCATTAAAAATGTCATTGTCTTACAAAATGTCGATACATATTGCTTGTGAATGATCTTTGGCACTAACAGTTGCAAAACAACATATTGTTTTACTCAGCAGCTCTGTAAAATTGGCCTTGTAAGTATATAACAACAGTAATAAATGCTAAGTATTGCAAAATTGCAAAGACAAAACACAGTTCTTTCTTGTTTGCTGTTTGATTGTACAATAGGTATCAAGATGTTTTGGGGATATGAATGCATGGTTATAATACAATCAATAAAGTAGCTGAACATGCCAAATATGAGTCCCTTCCTTCAAACTTCTGGGGTAAAGTGGCCTGAATTACCTTTCCCTGACAAACAAAACACCGCTTTGAGTGTGTGAAAGTTTACATACTCCGGAAAACTACTATCTGTCGTCCTCCTCCTCCTGTTCCACCTCCTGACGTATCTTTCCTGTTGGAGTAAAACGAGTTCACGTGTTTGTAAAAACTAGTTTTGAAGTCTAAAAGATGAACGTTGAACAATACAAATGTAGAATTCTTCAGCCGATCTAACATTTTTACCTTGTTTTTTTTGTTGATATAGAAAGATGACATTTAGGGACTAAAGTGCAATTTTTACAATAACTGTATTTAATTTTCCCAGTTAAAAACCGTGGATATGCAACTTTTACTAGGAACAAACAAGCAATGTCTTTGATTTTAAAATTTGACTGCGGAAGCCCTTTACTTTGCTCAAATTGTTTAGTAGATATATATTGCACCAGTGATGTTATATCATGTTTACTCTTATTGTATTTTTGTTTTACTTCATTGAGGATTCCGAAGTTTGTTGGGACTTATGGTAGTTAGGCAAATACAAATAAACTGCTTACGTTTGATTCTCGCTATTTCGTCATCACTGCTGTCATCAGAATCATAATGTGAAGTGCTGTAGGATTTAGAGTGAAGAAAAACATAAAAATCATTTGGGTTCTGACATAAAAATGCCTTCTGATTATAATGTATTTTTAAACTTTAAAAAAATTGCAAAATTTATGCTGCTAAGAAAGAAATAGTTGCGCCTTCAAATATTGCTGTTTGTATGTCAGATCACATCTTTCCATCAGGATGGATTCAGTCAGTGTCTCAATGATCTTCAATGTACTAGAGCTTCCTTTGTAGACTTACTTTGGATCTTTAAAGATTGACCCCTTCATGTTTTTAGCCTTTTCCATCTTCTGCCTCGCTTCGAGCGGGTCATCATAAGCATTCTCCTCTGCCCTGGTCTTGGGCTGTTTTGACAGGGAGGGTACATGCCGTGCTGTGGCGGTAGAGGGGCCAGCATGACTGGGCCCAGCGACTGCCTCCTCGGCTGACCGGTAGCCAGGACCCCTGCTGGCGATAGCCGAGCCTCGGTAGTCAGGACCATCCACGGGTCTGGCAAGCTGTCTGTCCCGGGCAGGACGGCGTGGGGCTTCCCCATTACTCCCTCTCATGTCCATATAACCCGTGTCTGCGAATGGGAAAGCTGTGTCGTGGTGGTTGTTTCTTGGAAGGGTGTGCTCATAATTGGGATCGTCAATGATGGAGGAGTTGGATGAAGGGGTGCGGTCGTTTGCCAAGGGCGTGGTCACTAGAGCACCATTTTCGATGCCTTCAATAGTCGATATTGTCCTGTGGAAACCAAGCATAACATTAATCTACCTGCTTCTGAGATTCTGATATTGAGCATTTGTATTTGATTAGCTTCTCAGTATTTTGCATTTCCTTTCATATAATGAAAAGGCTACATTGGGTGGATGGTTATCAAACACTGGACATGAAACAAAAATCTTGTAACGTTGTAATAAGAGTCATAAACCTTTCCTTGTAAGACATATTTCTTACCGGAGTTCATGGTCAGCATGATCCTTGTCATTCCTCTTCTTCCTCCTGAAGCAGCAGATGACGCAAAGGAAGCAGAGTGCAAGGAGGAGGATTCCTCCCAGCACCGCTGCAATGATGATGATCAACATAAGATCCCTCATGGATGCCTGGGGTGGAGCTAAAAGATGATGGGAAGAAAAGTTTAAATTTCCCTCTTTATAATTCTTTAAAACTGTCATAAAAGTTACGATCGGCAGCCTTAACTTTAAATTTTAAATGTTTGGTCCAAGACATGGTGTCTGGGGCAAAACTTATGGAGCAAATCAGCTCAAAAATTGTCTTAGTAGCCAGAGGATAAGAGTTTTAGTTTGGTAAAAAAAACATTCGGAAAACATTTTGTGTGATGGCTGTAAGTCTGTATCCTTCACATTTTCGACTGAGTTATACAGTACTACGTTTGTACACTGGTAATTCTAACTTTCCATAATGAGTATTCAACATGTCTGAATTTAAGGGAGAGTAATGTCAGTTGGCAAGCTGAAACTCAGCAGTAATTTATGCAACATACTCCACAACTCCAAATTCTCGACAGTCATACTTACTGCACACAGTGACATTTCCCTGCCACACTCCTTGGACACATTGTCTTGAGGCTGATCCTGTCCTTTCATACCCCTCGATACAGGAGAATTCCAAAGTGGAACCACTTAGATACACTGTGCCGCTCTTGCTACCACCTTGCGGTGCTTCAAGGAAACCACAGCTTACCACTGCATAAGAAAAGGAAAGTCGTCAAAAGGTTTTAACAGCAATCTGAAAGCTGGATAAATTATATCTGCCAACATTCTCCCTATTGACATGAGACTTGACAAACTATACCTCAACGCTGCATAAAAAAGGAAAGGCGTAAAAGGTTTTGCCCGAAATATCTGAAAGCTTGATAAATGAGTCCGGTAACATTCTCCATGTGGACATGAGACTTGGCATGTTCATTCTACAATCTACCTAATACCTATGTTCATAGTTTCCACAATGAGATGGCAACCTCTTGTCATGAAGAACACACAGGAATCAATTTGTTAAAAATGTCCAAAGCAGAATGATGAAAGAGGGAGAAATAGTCTGCTTGTGAACTAGCTAAGTGGCAGTTTAAAACATTTTGCTCACATGAAGACACATAGTAGAGACCTGCAAAGCACAATTCTCTCCAAGGAATATCGCTCTTACCTGGTGTGGTGTCATTGCTAGTCCCCTCATAATCCTCCTCTGCATCTTCTGCTCCAGTCCCCATCTCAGGTGATGAGGTCTTCTGGTAGTCGTACCGACACACCTCACTGTCTCCACACACACTGTTCAGCTGCTCTTCTGTGAGCGTGGAGTCAAGCGTGTATACAGCTTGGAAGTTTGGCCGGTTGATGGTGCTGACATTGACACTGATGTCATAGCGAAACAAGCTGTCACTTCGGGATATGTACCCTTCGAACAAACACACACAAAAAGTTACTTTTGTTTATCTTTAAAGACATCCTCTCATTTGACTTTTTAAATCAAGCACTATTAATGCAAACGATGTGCTCACGCAATGAGCACGCAATGATTAAAAAAAAACTTAGAAATTGCAATGAGTCTCTTCCGTTAGAAGATTAAAACACAGTAGGATCTGCTTAGGTCATACGTGATGCACATATGCAATCAAGAACTATTTCTGAGGCAAAACAGGTTTTGCTTTTACATTGCTCTTACATTTTACACCGAAGAAGTCATGAAGATTTGCCAGTGAATCCACAGAGAATATCGCCCCATTCGGTGCCTTCAGGTCATCACTGGGGTCGCTGTTCCAATTTCCTAGCAGGCCCGTTGTGCCACCTTGTAGTGCAGGTGCAGCCAGGATCTTGACAGCCATTGCAGAAGCACCAGCTGGTGCCTTGGCTTCAAATGCAGTACCTTGGTCAAATATCACCCGCACACCTTGGCTCTCTTCGGCACCAATCAACTCAACAATTGCACCTGTAATCAGTGATCAGATTAAAGCTTCAGCAAATGACACATTATTCGGGAAGAAAAAACAAGTACACCCTAAATTCTGCATTTTAAGGTACTTCTCCAAAAAAAAGTGGACAATATGTTGTTGAGGTAGTTTCTTTTTGGATGGAAAACACTACCTAATTTCTGAGATGCACACATGGAATGTTTTCAGAGTATCTATTTATAGCATTTTAAGGTACTTCTCCAAAAAAAAGGTGGACAATATATTGTTGAGGTAGTTTCTTTTTGGATGGAAAACACTACCTAAATTCTGAGGTGCACACATGGAATGTTTTCAGAGTATCTATTTATATCCCATCGCCTCACCTCTTGGTCTAGCTGTCCACCAACCACTCTGCTCAAACCCCAGCCGTTGCCATGCGCCTCGGGCCTCCCTGCGAACCCACACGTCCAACTTTCGTCTGTCAGTGATCTCAACTTGTATTGTGTCTGAATCACCCACTCGCATGGTGGCTACAGTCAGACCCGTTGCTTGAACTGTCAAAAGGATCAGGAGTCAAAAGAACTGTTAACAATCAACAATGACAGACCTATATCACATACATTCTGTTCAACCCTGGCTTTGGCAATTAAATTATGAGCACAAAAAAACCCCCAATAATCACATGTTAGATTCTGCAAAACCAATCATAGAGATTTAACCTAAATTCTTTCAGCTTACCATTTTCTATTAACTGAGCCATTCGACCCTGCATAGTGAGGTTGGCGCCTGGAGCTGAGACCAATGTGAATTCACCATAGCCGTTGAAGATGTACTTTGTACCATCGAAGGTGATAAAATGTGGCTCGCCAAACACAGCAGCTGCGAAAGGCAGACATTAAATATTGTAAGCAATAGATAATTAAATAAAACTTGTATGCATACATGCATATTCTTCATTTGGACGGTCTAACATCCTGAGTCGTTCAGCAGTCCATAATTGTCACACTACCTACATGGACATTGACACTCACCTGGTTTGGGCGGCAAGTAGTTCTTGCAGTCACTAGAGGGCCTCTTATTGCGGTAAATATCACAGGATGAGGGATTATAACCTGTGCGTGGACAACACTGCTCCCATGGCACTCTGTCCCCAAGAAAATTTGACAAATATGGAACATTGCCCGGATAGCCTGCAGGAGCGTGTCCGCCATTGAAGTGGCTCTGGGAGGAACCTCCTTCATAATTATCCTCCAGTAGGACAATGTTCTCGGTGTTGTCATAGCAACAGAGCTGGCCTCTGCCTTGATCACTAAAATTGTTGAAGAAAGGAATATTAATCAGTGACGACCTCTAAAAGTTATCTCAGAAATATTATTCCCCCATTAAACATGAACATTTTGTTTTGTACATTAACAGTCAAAGGATAGCCTAAGTCTTGAATTTGTGTTACATTAACTCCCTTTACTATACAAACTTGAACTGTGTAAAATTACATTGTCCTCTGTGAAGGGAAACTATGAATGTAAAACACTTTGTACTTCTGAGTTACAAACAAAGCATAGCAAATGTACTATGACCTAAGATCAAAGGACAACAAAATTGCTTCTAAAGCAATAAAAGTGCACTGCCGAAATATAATAAAGAAAAAGACAAAATGACAAGATGTTCATACCTCCCCCTCCTTGCCCGGACACAATGCACCACGCTTGTCCTGTACGGGCATTTCTCATCTCCACTTGCTCCCTGATTGCACCATGGGTATGGCTCAAAGGCCCCGACATCAGCCTGGGCCTGACGGAGAGTACAGGGACACGCCGGCAGGTTGTCCCCACTCAGGTCTAGTGGTGTTTCTGCGCTGCCCCAGGAGCGACACCATTGGTTTGAGTCGGCCTGATCATCGGCGGGGTTGGCGTTGAAGGGCATGCTCCACATGGATGGAATTGGGGCCTGGGAGGGGTCTGTGCCCGGAACACCCATAACCACACTAAGAAAAATAAGGAAATCACACATACGTGTTCGTTTATGATCAGTCTTTCAGTGGGATATTTGAAAACTCCAGATTTTCTTTGGTTACTGTCCATTTTAGGTGTTATTCCGCTTTACTTATCTACCATTTGTTTGAAACTGATACAGAGACATAATTTCTGACAGCAGTCTTCTGTCTCTCAAGTTTTCCATCTATAATTAAAAATTTCAATAGCTTGAACTTTTCAGGAAATCTTCCGTAATACACAAAGTGCAACAAAATGGATCAATCAGGCCTACAGGAAAGCCACAAACGACAGTCATGAAGTTTCAGTTCACCTTATTCCCGGCTGGGAGATGTCAACTGCTCCATGCTCAACCACACGGTAAATCCCAACATCAATTGGCTCTGCCAGCTGTGGCCTGATCAGAGAATCAAACCCGTTGGACAGTTTACGGTTGTCAGCAATCTTCAGAACTGGTTTCAGCCGGACTTCATTTGTATTTGGATCCTCTGTGTAGGAGTAGAGAAACACGTCCACATGCACGTCGTCTTCACTGAGGGAGTTGGTGAAGGGGTAGCCGTCTTTCTCCCAGCTGACTCGTAGCACGTCGTTGTCTTGGGAGGGGACGACTCGTGGAGGTGCCCTGTCCATTCCAACTGGATTTGACAGAGGAAAATTGCAACATCTTTGTCAGTGGCTCAGAATGGTCTTAATTTGTACAACATTGGTCAATTATGGGTACATACCTTGTTTGTGTGTTAATCTGATCAATAAAATCAGTCAATCTCAGACAGAATCAAGGCATTTGGTGTAACTATGATGAAGTTGATTACGCTCAATCAGTGTGATTTCAGACTCACTTTGTTTCCAAGGATGATGAGATTCAAGTCAACACATCCGAAGGATTTTCAAAAGGAATTACACGTCAATACCATTCTCTTTTCTAAGAGTACTTACCAACAGTAATGTATCCAGTGTAGTTGTAAGTCTGGCCCCCATCCTTGGACAAATACACAGGTGACTCTCCCAGAGCCATGAACAAGGGGGTGGCACACCTGACAGTGAACGGGTCTTTGGTAAAGTCATAGCTGGCTTGGATTTCATAGCCTTGGATTCGGCAGAAGACATCGCTGCTCACATCGAAACACGGCCCGGATATGGATAGGACGTCACCCCCAAGCATGATGACCTGGGCAGGGGATATTCGCAAATTTCCTGTAGGAATGAGAATTGAAAAGGGAACGTCTGTTGAATTATTTTATGGCATCAAGGATGAGTGGTGGATTTTATGTACACACTCTGAATTGAGTCTTAAAGGGGTGTAATCTCATATTTGACAAAGTATACATTTAAGTATGTCCTGAATGATATTGCCCTGACAATTAAGTCTCTTCAGCCACATTCATGAAAAAATTGAGCCAGTTTTCAAGGTTCCTATTGCTGAAATCCCTGCATTGGGTCCCTGATGTCAGATCAATGCCATTAGAAATATGGAGTTAAAAGAGGAAGGAAGCATGCGTCTTCCAGTCCACCTACCGTCAAGATCATTCTGACAGCCTGCAGCTTCAATTTCCTTGCCATCAATTCTGAACATCCACCTGCCTGGTTTCCGTATATTTGTGGTAGTGTTGATTTTCAGAATGTCATCAGTTTGCGAGTTTGGAACAGAGTAGAAATTCAGGCCATCACCTGCGTTGAAACCAACCTAGATAACATAAATGTAGATAAAACAGAGTTAGTTTACAAGATTTTAATTTTTGCACTGATGCTGGAACAGTATTAAGTGGATTATGAGCAAGATAATTATTTCACCGTAATGTTGTGTAGTTAGGATACTGACAAGTATATTTCCTTGAAATACTTTGTGGATAGTTTTAAAACCTCAACACAGCAATTGTTGTCTTTCTGGAACATGATGCGATAGTAACAATCCTAAGAGTTTCTTCTATGAACCATCTTCTTTCACCACTCGTAGAGATTTTTCTGTGGTGCTCTTGAAATCTTTCTTGTTTTCTAAGCCCCTGTTAAAAGTTCTTATATTAGAAGAGTAAATTAAAGTACGCAGCTATTGAGATGTTTCTGTACCCTTGTCTTGGCATAAGACCCGCGTCTATTACCTGCGCTGGGACGGCTCGGTCATCGTCTCCTCCCAGACCAGTCTCCTTATCCCCAAAACTTGCCGAGCCCGTGGTCCACTGAAGCTCCCCATAGTTGAAGATTGTAAAGGAGTAGACGCTGTCTGTGATCAAGATGGCTTGGAAGGTGTTCTCTCTCTGCAAAAAAAAGACACATTAAACTCTCTTGATTGAATTGCATTGAGATTTTGGGTTTTAGTTGGCAAATGATGGAGCCAAAATATGCCCCTTGTTTGTTAATTCATGTAACACATTAAACGGCAATGGATATTGCATTATTAGTCTTTTTATTTGACATTGATGGTTCAGAGTCCTATAAAGAATGTTGCAAAAGATTTCAACATATGAAGAAAATGTCACAGAAACCTTCCCGCAACTCAAGACATCAGTGAGCTGAGCTGAGGTTAGGCTCTGGTCAAGAACTAGCTGCTCAAGATAATGTTCGTACTGATCACTTACATTTACCCTGCCAGTACGCGAATTGTAGAAGGCAACCTTGTCCCAAGTGACGATCAGCAACCACTCGGCCACGAATGGTTCGAACCTGAAATCCACAGCAAAGACGCGGGCCACTTCGTCGGTGGCCCGCTTCAAGAGGTCTGTGTCATTGGTGGTCTGCCGGTACCAGACGTGACCTCCGTTGGTCACGTCCACGTCAGCCCAGTACGGGGCGATGATTCGCCGGTCGTTACCCAGGGGGAAACTCTCCGGTGTGTACTGGACCACATTTTGTAGAAAGGAGACGACACCATTTGTGTTGACCTGGGAAAGAGAAATCACTGGAATGAAAACTAAACTAGAGTTCCTTGGATTCTTAACAAGCACATTTTGACAGAGATTCTCCTTAATTTTAGCTGACATCTAGAGTTAGAGCTGGAATCAATAACAGACTAGAGGAAACTATAAACATCCCCAATTCGCAATTGGAGGAAAAGTTAACTTTGTTAAGTTTGAAATAGTCTGACCAATCTGACTGTGTGCCCACTTTCCAGAAAATGAGAACCCCTAAGTACCTCCTTTAAATAGGACTCTAGTGCACTGAATCTTGCTTTTTTTCAACAAGTCCATTGTTTTAGTATCCAAAATGACAAATTCTTCACCGACACTATCAGAAACCATATGTTCCTTAACCTTGTTTTAATAGAAAATGCAGAAGTTTAACTAACAAAATTATTAAAAAATAAAAACAACAACAATGGTTGCAATCCATTTCAATAGCCAATTATTGCACTATTGTGATAAGTTTTGGTAAGGTTTCCAAGCAACCAAGGTAGTTCCATTAATTCAAGAGTGAAAGTGCAACAAAAATTAAAGCATTTCCTTTTCACGTCTATAAATATGACCTTGCAAATACAATCCTTTCAAACTTGCAGTGCCATGTTTGTACTGGCATGTCCTCCAGAGTTTAGTGGGCTAAAGGTTCAGATCCTAATTTGTCTGTGGACTTTGTGATACATTTGTTGGTACATTTCAATATCTCATTTACTTAAAATTAGGCCATTTCAAGCCAAATATATAATATGGTACATTAAGAATTACACTAAAGAGCAGGTGCAAGTCGGGTCCTTGCTGAGTTTTAACCAATAGTAGTCTGCTTATTTTTAACTTCAGAATTGTTGTATCACAATAAAGTACTAGCTCCCAAGCAATGTTAAAACTGAAACAAGAAATCACCCTCCCCCACCTAATAAAAAAGGATACCTGTAATGTACAGCCCGTTTCATGGGCTTTCTCTTTTGAATGTTTCAATTTGATCATTATAATATCCTTTGATCTTACTGGGGTTTGTGGTTCAAATACAAGTACAAGTTAACTGCACAAACTTAATTGCAAAAGTTAATAATGGAAAATAATGAGCTTCTAAGGAGTATACTCACATATAACGATCTGTGATTCTGATCGAAGAAAGGAAAGTAGCTAATTGTCGCTGGTAACTCTAGCTCTATGCCAGTGTCGTCCTCAATGGGCAACTCTTTATCCCCCACTGATGAGCCATAGGGAAAGAAAAGATCTGAAAAAGAGAAAAATATTCACAAGATTGTGTGTTTGTCTTTTTTGATGTAAATTTCTGGGTTTTTCCTTTATAAGCCTGCATGTGCTTACACAATCACACCAAAAATTTAAAGTTATTACACAGATAGAAATGTAGTTTCTTAAAATGAAACGATTTACCTCAAACTGCAGGGTTTCAACTTAAAACTGTAACATAAAAATGTACACCATGCATGTGGTTGCTACATTGTTCCATCAACAGTTTCACTAAATTATTTAATTCAACACTATAGTTCTCAGTAAAGCAGAGTTGGCATACTAACTCGATGTCATGATCTGCCGTAAAAGCCTTTTTGACAATGACGACTTAATTTGTCATTGCATAGATCCTGTAGATCTTGTCAACATCGTTCAAGCAAAAATTGTAATTTAATAAGTGTTTACAAATATTTTAAGGAACATACAATTACGTAAAACATCGTCTTCAATTCAAATGAGACAGTGGATTCACAATTCTGACAATGGATTCACGGACCTCTTTTTGTATAGCACCATAAATATATTTATGAAAATAAAGCAGTTCTACATGATGTAGGCCCCCTAGATGCCGCCATTTATATTGTTTGCGCAGCTGTTATCTCGATGGCTCAAATTAATTAGCATATAATTTATAAAAGACCACCGCACGACAATTATGCTCATCTACAAGACCCTTCTTTTCAAAACTATCGTGACAAATATCGTCCCAAAAAACAACAGCACCCTTACGTTTATGTCGGGTGCGACACTGACATATCCCAAGCGTACAAATCAGAGTTTTGACAAATCCACGCGTACTCCCGCCACTCGTTCAATATAATAATCATGACAAGTGCGTCGTGCGAGCGGCATAACGGTACCGCTAAGCTTCGCCAGCACACTTCTCTGGAGAGAATTCTTACGGATGCATACCTGCAAATATACTCCCATAGACACTAGTGCTAAATGCCCATACTTCAAAATTCTTTTAAAAATACTCCAAACTCTCACAGGTATTCAAGCTGCACAGAAAAATGATAATCAACATGTCATCTTTCGTTTTCTTTTCAATTTTTGGTGGCTTGACCATTGACTTTTCGAGATATTTTCACCCAAAGAAGACGACCCCTATTTTCCCCAAAGCGGAAAAGTAGCCATCTTGAAAAACGATCCCTCCACAACATGGCAAAATAGCGCCACTTTCGAGCCCAATAGCATCCAAAATGCTCAGAATTGGAAGCCCCAAGTCCGGGCCAGAGGTTCACTACCATATCTCTTCAATTCCCCAATTTTACGGCGCTCAGAACTCTCTAATATAGAATATTTTGAGGTATAACTTTTATTCATAAGCTTGGCGGATCGATTTACCGGTGTGCACCCTTACGGTTCCAAAAGCGAAGTCATACTCCCAAATTACAAAATCTGGTGCAGTAATTATTTACCAAGGTTTGAACAAGGTTAATTATGGTCGGCAATACAAGAGGATCAGTCTAGGCTCAGTCTCTTATTAAAATCCTAAGGATCTCTAACTCGAGTAAACCGTAATGGATCGAACATAATTCGCACTACTCCGATATGGTTGGAACGTTCTAATATTGCTGTTCTTCAGATTTTTTTTAAAAGTTTCTCATATTTCAGCTTGATTGATGTTTTACTTTTCATGATTAGGGGCCTACTTGATATATTCATTAATAATATGTGGGCTCTTTTCTAGTGTCCGTTTATAAGAATAATTAAGCATTTCACTTAGTTTTAATGAAATAACTTCTTGTGGTAGCTTGATTTTTAGTTACTAGATTGGACGTTATTCATGTACTTATGTTAAAGATCATTTCTTTTTTAGCATTTTGAGAGACTACACTTGATTTATTACGTGGTAAATTTCTATTTTTTAAGATGATTTGAAAGTTTAAGCACTCGGTTTTGATGGCATTTAACTTTGTTTGATTGAACATTAAAAACTCAAAAAGAGGATGAAATCACAAGCTGAAAACGCTATAAATTTCAGGCCTGTCAGTGGGTGGGCTGGAGCCATAAATCTACTGGATAGGAAGTTTAGTTTCTTGTTGGTAGGAGTTATTTTGAGTAGTGATATGGCCGTTGGACATGCGCGCACATAGTCTAGTTGTGGCTACGCCCACTCACTTCTGTTATAAATGGCCGCACGCAGGGCTGTTCCCCTCTGAGAAGTCACAAAGGGTCGTTGCAATCCCCATATTGTTGTTGTTGACATTTTATAAGCCACAAAAACACTGGGTCAATCTTCAGTGACTATGTACCATTACCGATGACATGGATATTTTTGCCACAGATACAGTAGTATTTTGTATGAGGTTGTGATCTTGTCCATGGGACAAGCCACCCCCACGGCTGCAAAAGTACCAATATAATAGCAATAATATGCCTTATTCAATATAATCGAAAGAGCCGTTGGCATGCAGGAAACCACACTTTCTTCTGAATAGGGACAAACTGATTATTGCTTTAGGGTACTGGTTAAGAGGAATTTCGAGGATAATGGTCGTGTAAAATACCAAAGGGTTTGATTGTGAGTCCAAAAGTTTAGGCAGTCATGAGGACTTTTGGTTTTGAGTACGGAGCATTGATTTTCAGTAAATTGCAATCTATCAATGAAAGATGACCCCAAAGGGCCTTGGTCTGTGCTCATATCTTTTGATTGGAAGGGAACTATAGATTTTATTTATATACTTCATTCTTTCGGATTATTCCTTGGTAAAACCCAAACACACTGGATGGGTCAAATATCCTATTCAAGAATAAGAAAAGGGCCTAAATTGATCAAGGAGATGTTTTCTTTTTCAACGAATAATGTGATATAGGCCCTATACTGAAGTCAGTCGCACGATCAACAAAATGTGAGTTTAATCAAACTTTTGAATGACAGTATAAAAGAAAAAGTTTTAAAAATATCGCAGACTGGCTGTTGGTTTGTGCCGAGTTGATTGTGCGCGAATGGCCAAATAAACCTTTGAATTTCTAAAGAATTTCTGATGATTTCTTATTGCGTGAATGATTATGGTGTCAACTTGCTTTACATAGTATACAAATGCAATTCTTTAGGTATCAGTTATGACTGTGTTCAAAGGAAAAACAACAATCGATGGTATTATTTAAATATATGATGATTGGCCATGGGGCTTCAATGTCATTATTAATTGATCGATAAACATCCACACAAATGCATCTATACAGCATTATATTATGCATCCTTTTAGCTTAGCAATTATTTGAAAGTTCAATGTCGCTTAGGCTTTTCTACATGTAAACCATTTTTGTAAACTGTCATTGCTGTTGTGTTGTTAATTTTCCGGTTAACTTGACTGTCATTTGAACTCATGTCACGCCACACTTTTTACGAAAATCGATGGTTAAGTTTAAATCCAAAACATTCGTATTATCGACTTCAAAATAGCAACTTTAATTTAAATTTGGCTTAATTATTTTTTTTTTAACTGTGCTTGTCCATTTTTTAATATTTCAAAAGTCCTTTTCCCATATCTCCGATTTCGCTCATGTTTGCTGATTAATGATGTGGTGAAAACTCATCTCTCAATGGTTTGTCCAAATCACGACACGTATTGCCTGTGCAGGTCAATGCTGTCGTCCGCCCGCATGGGCGTTCCCGTTTATCCACAAGTCCAAACAATACCCAATGCAAACAAAATCAATACAAGCCTGTCGGGTCTGGCGTTAATTCTAAAGAGACAATATTTGAAAACAAATACAACATCCCTGGAATACTAAATCCCAATTGAAGGTCGACAAATAAAACAGATTGTAATTGCGCATTTTGAAACCAAAGGTATTTTAAATTACTTTTATATTTGACGTTGTAAACGAGTTGAAATTTTAATACGCCATTTTAAAGATGGCAACATATTTATTTTGGGGTATTAATTATATTTTGTACAATAAAAGCCCACTTATTATATGTCATGAATTCACATCAATGCCCTAGTGAGATGTAATCATTACTTGACTTAGGTTTGTGTTTGATATTTATCAGAAACCTCCATGTCAATTTTGTTAACTGCCAAAATAACTGGTTTTCATTGAAAACATAAATAAATAAATAATCATAAAGGAAAGTTCTTGATTTGAGATCAAAAGTTAATACTGAGTTGAGATTGAAATGATAACCCTTTTTTTAGCCGCGTTACGGGCAGGATCTAAAAATATTAATAATTGCAGACAATTTTTTTCCGGAACTTTAGAGTGGCTCATCAGCAGGCATTTGCTTAATATTTTCATCTCAACCAGCGTGGCCGATAGCCATATGAAATGATGCGCATGTGTGCATGTGTACTGGAATGTTATTTTAACGCAGGACCGCTTGACTGAATAGGGCAAGGCGTATCCTGGTACAAGCAAACATGTGAAACCCCCTACGTAATCAATAAGTCAGCATTAGTCATACAGCTCCCATCCCTTTCTCCTTTTCACACCGAACAAAAGATGGTGGTACATGTTCGTAAAATGAAAGTATGCCGACATACCCGGGGTCTAACTAGTTCACTGCGGGGGAAATAGTTGAAGAGATATTCATGCTATAGTGTTGATGACGATGTTATATCAATATTATATTCATATCTCATATCAATAGCAGAGAAATGTCAAATATGTTGCTTGTGCGTGGTTTAAATTCAAGCATGTACCGACTTCCGGTTTTATCGCTGCGTAATAGGACTTTCATCCAGATACGAGACTAACTTCTAAAACTTATATTTAATCAGTAAAAACTATCAATCTAGTACAATTTGGAATGGAAAAAAAAACATAAAAGTTTTTATATCTGATTTCTAACTGATAATTTGGAAACAACAGAAGAAAAGTTTTCATATCGAATTTCTAACTAATATTATTGAGAAAATCATTTGGGGATAACATAGAAAATGTAAACATCAAATCCCCATCCTTCTCTTGGCAGCTTCACCATTTTCAATGTTTCAAATCAAAGTCACCAGAAATGATTCAATTGCCAAGTATCAAATCAATTTTCACTGTGTTCATGGTTTCTAAGACTCGAATTTATCGGAAAGTCAAATTTTCAGTTTAAGTATAGAAATGTTCCATGTTGTAACAACTAGTAACTATGGGTACAAAGTGGTTGTCAATTTGTTTGCGGAATGTAAACCATGGAATGTTAAATTTTCCATTTATAGCAAAATTAATTAATTTGTTTCCCAAGGGAAAAAGGGAGACTAAAAATAGAAGAGAGATGAAACAGTTACCCTCTTCGGTATTGAAAGTTCAGTGTTATTTAGAAGGTGGTCATTTGTAAAATGACCAATCCTGGAGTATCCGATGCTTAAAATTATAAATTTCTCCTAACACATCAAATGATGTTGTCTTTAATTGGTGTAAACATGATATTGGGCTATCAATCTCACCTTGCTCCTGCGATGCAACATCCTGTACTCTTGCCAACGTAAAACAAACCATCAGATATAAAACGACGATAGAGGGTGAACTCCGCAGCGTACCCATGCTCATCGCCTGTTGCGCGCTGTCTCCGAAGAGATTTTCCGTGCTCAATGGTGAAATCTTCCCACGGGCAGATGCGTTTCTATTCCACTACAAGAATACTCCTCGTTTGGTTATTAAATCGTGATCGAAGACGAGAATTATATGAAGTATTTCTAAGTAATTATGATAAATTTGCGAAATATCAGCGAGCGATTATAGAAAAGTGTGCTCATCACGGATACTCGGTTTGATTTTGAAAGTGTTTGGTCGATTGGGTCACACCGCTGTGCGAGTGATTATCTATGCATGAGTGCATCACAAAAGGCCAACAATAGATTGACATGTACGTCATAATCTCTTTTTGTGCAGTGCAATGCACATGTACAAACACTGTTGTATATGCCCATACATGTACATTCACAGAACACTTGTTAGTGTGGGAACCAGCGCAATCATGCAGGAGTTTTTATTCAGAATATATGAAATAGGCCTAAGGGGTCGGGGTCAACAGGCCAAATTGTCTACTTTAGAGAAATAATACTCATTGAAGTCCAGTGGTTTTTTGGCAGAAAATATTATGAAGGTCACAACTTCTTGTACTTCTAGAACTACCATGTTTGTGTACACTAGTGAAAATGTTCAAGTAAATGTTGCAATGGATGTTGATGACTTGAAAGACTAGAAATTGTCTTGAAAGACTAGATGTCTCAAAACGAATTAGCATAGTTAACTAATATGCTACTATTGCTGTTTTATTGCGTCAAAAGCTTAATGGTGCAAAGTGTACAAACAAGGCCAAATATACAAACAAAGCTGATTTAAGTACAAGGCGCGATGCATATCAAAATAACATTTCAGATTTACAGAAAATATAAAAAAAAGTTTAAAAAAAGGAGTACTGTTATTAAAATTTTAAAAGTAACTTTTCATACAGATATTTTATAGAAAAATACATTTTGAATTAGTTTTTGACCAAAAAGGCCTTTAATTTAATCAGAGTACCTGTACTATCTCTTTCACTCGAATTTAATGGTTCACAGAATCATAATGGTCACTAACTTCACTTCCACTGAAAAGTAGCTACTAAACACCTTTAACCATAGATTAAAAGTATTAAAAACACAATTTAAATCACATCTTTAATAAGAATGTTTTAATTTGATCAGAGTACCATTTGTTTTATTTTGCAGTCCTGTTTACCAAGGTGCATTACTCTCGGTCTTCAAGAAAGTACTAAACATCTTGACTTAGCTACCTTTATGGCTCAGCTTCCCACAACCATCTCTGTACCAGGTGGGTAACTGTAACTTAACAGTCATTGTCAATAATAATATCATTATAAACTAAAACAAAGAAATGTTAACTAAAGCTTGAAAACAAGACGTACCGGTAAACGTTTTTAAAAAAATGCACCTGCATTCAGGACACAATTTTCCCCCAAAGAATAGGATTTCAGTCAATGATATAAAAACACAAAACAAGTTGGAATAACCTATCCAGGAATGCTATCATTATCTATCCAGAAGGCCCATTCAATGGCAAAAGCTCGTGCTAACTATTGTTTAAATAATCCGTCATGGGGCAGTTGTTGTGAACAATAGCTAGCACAATACGTTATTACCTTTGCCATTGAAGGGGGCCTTCAAACCTTGATCATGTGCCCGGATTCGTCTTTATGATAAAAATAATAGTATTATCTAAAGTATCCACGCCGCAGAACACCATGCTATATCCAAAAGAGGCACATTACTGTCAAGCTGCTCCAACCAAAAAATATAAAAAACCCAATTATTTACATTCTTCAATTCTTATACAAGTACAGCGTTATCACCATCCATTATCCGTGCATAATATTTACACGTGCATAGTACTTGCAGGTAAGACAATATAAAACCTTTTCTTATGAATACAGGTACAAAATTAAGAACAACCTCACTGTCTTGAAGAAATATCAGGCCACTTTAATTTTTTGATTTGTCTTACAACCAAATAATGACAAGGACCATGAATGTGGCAGGCAGTGCATGCTCAACTAATCCATCCGTCCCAACTTAAGCTGGGACTGTCCAAACTTATGTATTCCAACCAGTTGAAATACATTAGTTGGGACTATCCCAGGTTAAGTTAAGACCATTCCAACTAAAGTTGGGCTATATATCTAGTCTAGATATACACTCACTTTTTATTCATAAGAATTGTTTCAAACCTTTCCCACAACCAGTAAAAGTATTCTTTATGGCCATTACTACTATTTTACTTGCCTACTTATTTAATACTAAACAACTTAAATGTTAACATATGCTAGTAGATAATACTACTAGTTTCTATATTCAACTTTGAAATTCCACAAGAATTCATCTCAACAAAAGTGTCATCCAAAAGTTTAGGGTTTTCTAAAACAGTAATCCCAGGTTTCGTTGGTTCTTCCTGAATGAATTCGTATGAAGCATATGAATACATGTAAAACAAAATATGATGACCCTAAACTATCACATAACTATCTAACATGAAATTAATTGTTATTTACAAGGTTTGTTGGTATGATTTTGGCAACCGAAGGCTGAAGAATACATCAACCAGCATTTGGTTGCTCTCGTTTGAGAATTTGGTCCACAAGCTCCCGCACTATATGATAGCACTTCCCGCAGTCCTTAAGTTTCTCAAGTATCTTGTCAACAGTCATTTCAACCACCTTAGTTGCTTCAAGGTGATGTAGAACATCCTCTGCGTTTCGAAACATCCTTATTTGATTTTTGTGAATGTGAAAAAGTTCAGCAAACCTGGCATAGTGAAATATTTTGGAAGTACACAGATTCTCTGGTTGTTCATACATGTTCTCGTGAAGCAGGGTTATGTCCTCCCGATTCATTTTGGAAATGGGTACTCCTGTGTGCACAGAAATAAAATTTTATCATTCAAATCCATTTTTTATTTGCATCATTGTACAATAAAACATACAATGTGGCAACCAAAGGTCATTTATCGTATGTCCTTCAGAATCACCATGAGATGAAACTTGCAGGTCATGATTTAAAACAATTTTCCGATTGTTGATGCATGTTCAGCTTCATTAAAATAAACAATTGCTCTCTTGTACTCAAATGCACATTGACAACCTTGTGAGGTCATATGTAGAGTGTATGATGAAAGAATGTCCTCTCTTTAGCGGAAAAGTCAAGAATAATTACTGCCAGGAAAATTGATTTGGGGAAAGGCCTTGAACAGCGTGTGACACGTTGGGTTGTGACTTACCTTTTGTGCATTTTATAGCTTGATCAAATCTCTCCAGGAATCGTTTGTGCTTGTCTTCTTCATCCTACAAATACAGTAAAGAAACATCCAAGTGTTAAATTGCTCATAAATATTATGTTTGTACAGTTGTACTCTGTTTCAAAGTTCATTCGGATTCCAAGATTTTTAACTTTTCAGCGGTGACTTCATCCTCTAAACCAGTGGCGTAGCCAGGAATTTTTCAGTGGGGGGGGGGGGGGGGGGGGGGGGGGGGGGGGGCTGGAACATTTCATGGGGGGGCGTCATGTAAATCAATGATAATTTTTTTTAGAAACTCAATATCTCAGTGGGGGGTGACTGGGGGGGGCGACGAGGTTTCATGGGGGGCCCCCCACGCCCCCCCTTGGCTACGCCACTGTTCTAAACACAGACTGATGATAGTAATTTTGAAAAAAATAAGTTACCTCGCTTTCCAGCACCTCATCAGGTGATGCAGAGGGGCTATTGCTATCCAAGCTTGTCTGTGTGGCCTTACTTGATGATGACTCCTCGGAATACCTCCGATTTACCTCATCGCCCATCTCTCTCTGATCAGAATCATGCATGGTGTTAGAGGTACCACTGTCTTGGGGAGCAGAGGCCTCCTCGGCGTCCCTGTGTTGGGCATTCTCCTCAGACCCCTCCTCCTCATTCTGATCATTTGGGTTATCAACAGCATCATCAGCGGATTGGGGATCTGAGTCTTCGGTTGGTTGCTGAGCCTTGCTGAGCAGATAATGGCTAGAGTCTGTCGGTATGGCACCCTGCATTGACTCAACGTTTGACCCAGATGGGGTCTCGGTGAGATCATGACCTGAAACTGATTCAGTAAAGATTTAAACAAAGTTGTCAGATAACAAGTCTTGCTTTAACATTCTTCAAACTGAATGCTTATGACTGTATTATAAAACAGGATTAACGCTTATCCTCAATTAATATTTTTAAAAGACCAAGAGTGAAATTTCACTGTTGGATTAGTTTATTGTTTCATCTATTTAGTCGGTTCTTATTATTACCTGGTATTATCAGAGGTTCAGTTTCTGGTTGATTCTCAGGATCTTCTTGTCCAACTTCCAAATCCACATGAACTTCACTGTGCTGATGTTGGCTGGAGTGCACAGTTATTGGTGTGCCTCTCTGCATTTGCTCTGCAATTCAGTACATTAAAAAAAATAGTTGTCAGATCAATAGTTCCTGCATGCTTAAACGTTCTGCAAGTTGAGTGCTTCATATTATACAAATGTCATATTTATCCACAATGAATGGTACCGGTACATGTATTTCTAAGGGCTGGAGTGAAATTTTACTGTTGTATTTATTTATAATTTTATTTCATTTATTCTTTGAATAATTACCTGGTGCCATTTGTTGAATATTTGGTTGACTTTCAGGATATGCTGGTTCAGACATGCTTGTAACTTTCAAAATTGTATGCCGCCAATGCCGGGGCCTCTTCTTTCTTCCGTCACAAAGACTACTCACTCGACACGAACATGTACGATGACGACATTTCCAGAAAAGCACAATGATTATTATGGTACAAACAACCAAGGCCAATATCACTATGAGAGCAATGCCAACTGGACTCATGAGAGGACCCTCATTTGGTGTAGGGATGTAAGTTGTCGAGGTCTCTGCATTTTGTGTCGCGTCCAAGGCTTGTGGCAGTGGTGTTGTCCGCAGACAATCTGGATAGAATTGGCTATTTCTCTCGTCTTGGCAGCGTACACAGTGGTCATCGCGTGGATTATAACGAAAATATCTGTTTAATAACAAAAAAGGAATAACATTTCTATTACATTGTCCTTACCATAAAAATTATGTTAACCTACCTTTATCTTCCCGGAAACCCCAGCAAACTTAGCTAAAACTTACCTTAATTCACACTTGCCACATTTCCGGTCTGTCTCTGGTGTACAGGGAATCTCATCCTCCATGGTGTTGTCGCATCGACGGCAAGTAATGCATACACTGGCAGCAGAGACAGATTGAAAACTTTCATCTGGACATGGCTGACATCGGGCATTCTTCCCCAGGCCATCACCGCATACCTGTTAAAGGGTCAACACTCATAAATGTCCTGGCTTTTTGAGGAAGTGCTGGCAACGTCAGCTTGGCCATGCTAGCTCAATATTGCCCTTGAGCTTGGAATGTTTCAATAACATTACCTGCAGACATTTAAATTGAATTTATAGAACCAGCCTGATAGTGAACTTGTTTAGTCTGGTAAAACCGTCTCTTTCAGTGAAGATGTTTTTTGGGCGAAACCAATGTTAAAACCATGCTTTATCAATAGCCCTCTCTTTTAAATAGTGAGTAACAAATTGGCAAATTTGCTGCCAGCCTCAGATGTAATTTACCAAACTGAATGGCCACCTGCACAACATAGCTCTTGTTTTTTTTTTCTAAGGAGAGCAGGCTTATAACTACCTCAGATAATCCTTCGCCTGGATCACATCTGGGACATGGATAACACCGGCCATCTCCGTCATCATAGTACTGTGGAGCACCATCAGAAAGATTTGGACATCTACTGGTGTCAGCAGGGGCTCCGGCAGACTGGGGAACAGCATCATAATGCAGATTAAATAAAATAGAAATACCTAAAGATATTCTATCTCACGAGATAAGGCCAAGTGAAAAAGTTCTTGTCCAGGCTTTTTTTTGTAAAGGAAGGAGGCGGGCGGGCCCCCTCCCTCTTTTTTCCCCAAGATGGCAGATTTTCCAAGATGGATTCTTCCATTTTTCTCGACTCTTCTGCTGATACTTTTGTGTCCAAAGGAGCTGTCACCCTTTCTACATACCAGATTCTAAACTTGCATACAATATTACAATTTTGCTGGGAGCATATAAAAGACAAAATACACTGAAAATGCATGATTTGAAAATTTTGCCCCACCCCCCATATTGTCCACGGCCTATCCCGTTTATAAATGTACCCTTCGAGATGAAAACAAAACTGCCCCTCAAACGCACACGTACGAAAGCATATCGCTTCAAACAAAATTTTCTCCCCACTTGTATGCAAAACTGCCCTTCAAAAACAAAAGTAATCCTCTCTCATTAACAAGATTTTGCACCTTCTTCAGATGGAAAACTCACCCCTCTTGCAATCATAAAATTGTACCCCTCTCAAGATGGAAAATTAGCCATAAAAAACAATAGTGCTCCCCTCGTAACTTCCCTCGAAAGCACAATTAGTGCCCTGCTTGCGACATAATTGTGCCCCTTTCAAGATTCAAAACTGGCCCCTAAAATAGGGCTCTATATGTGAATTCATATAATGGTCACTGAACTGGCAATCAAAAGCAACAGTACTCCTCCCTCTACAAAGAAAACGTGGTCTTTCTAGTCTCTACTGCATAACTATTATGAAACACACTAACATGACAACGTCAACGCGCAAGATGTACAACATATTTATAATTTGTTCCTCTTCATATAGGTTTATAGCGAGATGAATGGAACCACTCCCCCCCCCCCCCACTTTGAAAAGCGTTCCACCCCTGCCCTTAGGCTTTATTAGTTGTCAATTTTTTTCTATATAATTGTCCTCTTCACTCAATCCTAGACCAAGTTATTAAGTTTTGAGTAGCTTAATGTAGTCTGAGTGATATAACCATGGAGGAATAAGAAATAAACATGAATGGGAAGACGTCAACATTAGTTTGGTCAAACATGACGTAGGCCTAGCTAGTTTAGGAACTAGTGTGAAGTTAGCGATCATGATTTAATATTTCCTACCGTGGTCAAACATGCCGCCACAACTGTGACAACCGTGTAAACATACACTTCCGAGCATGGAGTCATGACTGCCCATCATTCGTGCATAATCACGGAGTGAATTATTGTCACGATCCCGGAAAATACTAGGATTTTCTGCCGACGTCTGGGACGAATATTAAAGTTTGGCGTATACCTCACTAAATGTTTGGGATTCCCCAACCAAATGAGTGATGACATCATGTGATAGCGCTCTCTAGTGGTGGCTTGAGTTAGTGACTTTTAGACTGGATGCCTATCCTAATAACCATTGTTATCCACAGGGCCAATAAATGGTGCTAACCAAACCTAGTCCATGATTATAAATGGCGATTAATAAATAAACAAAAAACAAAAACAAAAAACCTAAAAAAAAAAAGAGTAAAAGGGGAAGAATAGTCTTGCGGGCAGGGGCTGTATGTGTTGTATTATGGGTGTGCTTTTGTCATCTTTAATAATTGATGGACCAACATGCCAATAAGGGGCGAGATGGATGGGGAGTGGATGGGCATGCAACAATCAGTAACGGAAAGAGGGACCACACCTATTTAACATCATCCGTGTCACACTTCAAGAAAACTTCATTGAAGCCATTAGTTTTTTTTTCCTTCAGAACTCCGACCTTTATTTATGTCATGTCTAGAAGTCCCTGCACAGAGTTGTCACTTTATTTGGTACTTGGTACTTGGTTGGTGGTCCTCCGAAACATTCCATCTAGGGAATTTAAACTGGAGGTGTGGTGTAGTGAGAGTGGTCAGGATTAGATTTGTTCACTTCAAAGGAATAAAAGATCAAAGGAACAAAATTAACCTGGAATTTGACCTTTAATGTGTACAACAAATGAGGAAAGTTTCAGTTACTCCATTTACAAAACATACATTTTGTGAAGGTTGAATATGCACTATCAAACCTTGTTACATAATCACATTTTCCAACATGAAGATATTTCTGTTTTCCAACTACATTTTTTTCACTTTCTGATTGTACTCATGCTCACAGATCGGTTCCAATAAATGTCATATCTCATTGGTAATACAAAAAAATATTTAAAATTTCAAGTTCAACAGCATTTGATTTCAGAGATCAAAATTTCAAATTCTCAAATTCACTTCCACTCTTAATATTCATGATGTCATGAAAACTACAAGGGGTTGCAATGGACAATAAAACACTGAAGTTAAAAACTTAAAATAAGGTGGTCAACAGGTTTCAGTAAAAAAGTAAAAAAATGACAAAAATGGATTCAATTCAAATTGAAATTGAATGCAGTACATTTATAAACAATATTTTCCTCCCATCACATGAAGTTCGTAAGTTGACTTTATTACTATTAAAAAATGTGTTGTATCTGAGAAATTTAACTTCTTTAAAATTAGCAATATCAAGATTTTGATGTACTGTACATGTACAGAGTACAGGCCTTTGGCAGTTACACAACTACATTTAATGGAATCATAAAAAAATCTTCTTATGAAGAATAATTATCATATTATAATATTATGTGGTAGGGTGCGTTGTAACTTGCCATTTAAGTATCCTTAAGAATGTAAAGTTGTTGGATAGGTCATTTGCTGTTCATTATCATTCTTATGAAGCATCAGAATTATAAAGTCATACTCATAGATGTCGGATGTAACAGGGACAGGAAAAAATAGCGGACTCAATATTAACAGAATGACCCCTCATGTATAAAAAAAATGAAATTTTTTTTGGTCAAATGCTCACACACCATTTTGCCCACGCTGGATAATATTATTGACAAGATTTCGTACAACATGATAACATTGCTGTGAGTCCCTAAGCTTCCGTAATACATCTGCTACTGTTGGTTCCACCTCCTTTGTTGCTATAAGGTATTCTAAAACCCCCTCTGCTGTTTCTATTGAACGTGCTTCGAGTCTCGGGACGTCAACAATATCAGCAAACTTCAAATAGTGGAACCTGCTGGAGGTCTGAAGCAGCTGTGGTCTTTCATGCAGCATTCTGTTCAGAAGGTCCAAATCTTGCCTGTGCATTCTTGAAATGGGTACACCTGTACGCAAAATATTGTTAAGATATTAGTTTATAAAGTACAAATACTCCACAGGAAGGGGCGGGGGGGGGGGGGTTCAAGGGGGTAAGGACAGCATGGATGTTGGACATCATCTGACAATACACTGGGGAAAGTTGCTCAAGATCAATTGGACTGGACTCCATCTCTGACAGTAAGCAGTGCCTTTGTGGCCTCTTTCACTGGCAATTGCATGATTTGGCCAACAGATCTAGGACAGATCTGATAGGGTTCAAACTCCCCTTCCCCCCCCCCCCCCCCCCCCCCCCCCCACCAGCCCCACCCTTTAGTGAAGTCCCTGTGAGTACACACACTTTGTCAAATTGTGAACATCAAAATATACAGGAAGTTTATACAAAAATACATCGCATTCTTCAACATGTGCTCCCTCTTCTCCAACCCCAGTCTGTTCAATCTTGTTTTTGCATTACCTTCAGTCAAAGCAAGAGCCTGCTGAAACCTTCTGTCCAAATCTGCAGCATCGTCGTTCTATACAAAAAAATGGAATTATGTTTTGTGAGCTGAAGAAAGTTGAGCAGTAAGCACGGCTATATTCATTTACATTGATAGCATTTTATGGTGAAAGGAAGTGGATACATCAAAGACAAGTTTGAGATAAACCCAGCCAAAGCCTGACCGAAAAAAACTGTCCATTCGGGGGGCTTCACTTCAACTGGCAAGCTTTACTTCCATCTGAAATGTCTCAAGTTAGAATGTTTGATGGGGAGTGACTCAGTCAGTATCTTGGGGAGTCAGTCAGTCAGTCAGTCAGCCTGTGACAGTATGAGCAACACAGTAGATCTGAAGACAATACTAGGCTGGCCAATCAGTTCCAACAACTCCTACAAAAAGTCTATATACTGGTAACTATAATTCAGTCCATGTGATCATTGGTAGTATGCTTGTAAATGACCAAAAAAACCCAATATATCAATGTTATTGTTTAAATTAGGCAGTAGATATTTTGCCGGAGACGGCAAACCTTTAGTAAACGTTAGCTTGCCGGATATGCACTGAACATGTGCAGTTACTGTTTTTTTTTTACTTCGACATTTTCCGGTGACAGATTTCAATCTGGCTCCATGCCAATATTATCGTTGTAACTTCGTATTCACAAGATGGAAATCAGACCATTTTATAATTTGGACTTTATTTTCTTTAAAAAAAATCCTCCAGAGCCACAAATCTGAAAAAGAAAATGTAATACTCTGCAATAAAATGTTTGAGACATGTTAAAATAATAAAAGAAGAGTACTCTTTTTTATTTGGGGATGGGGAAAAAAACCTTAGAAATGTGGCGGAGATCGTGATTGAACCCGGGTCATCCCACTCACAAGAGCCATTGCTTATCCACTACACCAAATGTGCTACACAACTGTTGGTGGGAATTCAATACATCTTATAAAGAGTACAGCACCCTCTGTTGATATGGATTGCCGCCGGCAAACCTTTAGTAAACGTTAGCTTGCCGGCATTATCTCCGGCAAAATATCCACTATCTTTACATTCTGTCATGTCTTGCATAATGTTTGGCCGCCTTGTAAGCAACTTACGTCTCTTACGTCTCTCAAGGGTCTGGCTTCTCGACGTGACACAGCTATGTTATTCCCAGGAGCACCAGAAGCCATTTCAATTCAAATGACATCTGAACAAAATAATGAAAAAGAGAACAATTACAATGAGTTACTGAGTGAGCATTATTATGTCCGGCAGTTGGCTGTATTTTTATTCTTGTTACTACAAAAATACTACTATAGTTTAGAAATGTAAAACTGTAATTAAGGATCCCTTTATTTATTTAGTTATACACAGTTCTTATTGCTCTAAAAAAAGTAATTAAGGCAAACTTTCCAAGATTTTTATTCTAAATTATATGACATTCTTTCCATTCCAAAAATAAAATTAAAAACGGTAGGGAAGACGCACAATGTCCAGATTCCGGACTAACTTGTAAGTTGCAATAAAACTAGCCCAATAAAACTAGATTTAAAGTACTGTTCTACACCACAGCATACCCGACAAACAGAAAAAAATACTACCTGTATCGGACGATTTGGTTGAGTGGATTATTTTCTTTCAAACTCTGTTCTTTGCTAAAGGACGATCGTTAAATTTTTGTGTTGTCTTGTGAAATACTTGTTTGCAGCTCGCAGGAAGGGAATTTCCCTTGCGGCCTTGCGGGTTGATTGTAAAAAATAGAGGGCGCCATCACTTTTGATGACCGACTCAATTTCCACAACAACAAAAAAATCTACAATGCGCAATTTCCACATTCGCTCGTACAAATACCCCCGCCACCGTATACTAAAAAGGAATTTATACAAAAGAAAATTAGAAAACGGAAAAAATAAATATTAAAAACGATTTTAAAATCAGACAAGGCAAGATGAAGGATTCAACTGGAATTCAGGAGGGGTATGTGGGTGGGGTGGGGTTGGTGTTTGAGACAAAATATTCGTCTTGAAAACTATTAAGGATTTTTTTGTTTAATATTGTTGGCGGCGTCATGATGGGTGCGATGAACTCTTTTTAGCACATAACTGAAGAGAATTATTCATAATTCATCATTTACCAAAGCCTCACCCACTAAACTTCATTTTTGAGCACATATCTAGACTATAAGCTATTAATTTATATTACTGTTTTTTTCTTCAAAAATCGAAATTAAAATCTACGTTTGGGCAATCCACATTTTTAGGCCTATCTTTTGATTTTTTTTCATTTAGAATGCCTTCAAAATACTAAAATAATTTGGGTTATTTTTTTTTATCTACGAACTTGATTCGCCCGTACTCCAACCTCGTCCCCAGTACTTACTTTATTTCCAACGGCGTTTCCAATAGTAAACCCTGGATAGGAAACTTTCTTCCTGTATCCTCATTGGATACCGCAATTGGCTAGTAATGGATTTTTATCGTGTACTTGGTGCTATATATTCACAACGTGCAGTACGTGTTTTCGCGATCATCATCGTCCACGCCTTCTCGAAAATACTAATTTCCTTTCCAATTTGCTCATATTAATATGAAATATGATACTGCATGTTGTCTCAATAAGATCGTAACAGTTTGATTTCAGAAATCGTGTTTTCGTAACTCACGCCGTGCTCGCGCTGCTACGAATTGACTCTGTTTTTACCCCAGACACCGCATACAAAAACAAACGCTAATGTGTAACGCATATCCAGGCACCTGACTGTTCCTCATTTGCATACGTGTGCAAAAATCTTGCACATGCAAATGATCCAATACCAGGGTGAGAGAGCAGGTAGTGGTGGGCGCGTACTGCTCGACACCCTGGGGACGAGGTTGCCCGTACTCCCCCGCCCTGCAAACAGGGTACGAGCGAACGAACTTGATTGGCTGTCGTTTGCGGTAAAATACTGGTTCCCGCCCACCACCGCTCTTCTCGAAGTGTATATACTAATGCACGGTGTCTAGAACCGAGAACCAGTGCCACATTGCCACGTGGTTACAAAAAATCGCGCGTATTATAAATCTTGAAAAATGGCGGATGTGCGTGAAGGAAAATTCGGACGGAAATTTCGAATTGAATTTTTACAAGGACTAGGGAAAGAAGGACACTTTTTCCTCGTCATTTAGCGACAAGAAGGTACGAATAACGGGTGTATGTTTCGAAATGTGTGTTATTGTGTGAATTAAATGTAGTAAGACCGATTTGAAAACAAGCCGAAATGCAAGCATGGCAAGTGTCGGAAAAGAAGGGTTGTTGGTAATTACGTCACGTACGGTTAATAAATTAAATGGGGTGATAAAAAATTCAGTATTATTTACTAATTAGAAAGAGTAAGACACAATTTCTTTCAAACAAAAGTCACATGTCCTCAATTTCCCTTTAAAATCAAAGCCCTGCCCTCTTTCCACAAAATTAAACCTACTGATATTCAAGAAGGTGTCATTGCCAATTGTTCAGATGTGTCAAGAAATATCAGAATGTCAATTTTGAGTGTCATTTAGTCAACTGTTTTGGTGAGTCTTTCCTTCCTGTATAGGAACGGGGTCCTAAAAGTAAGGATTACCATTTTTTTTTTTAATTTTATGACTTTAAAGTTCATGAAAAGAATGGACTATCCGGAAAAAATTTCATACTCGATCGCCACTTTTTTCAATTAATTTTCTAGCGCCAAAAGTTACATCTTTTATGGTTATTCCCTCCACTTTCCCTCCTCTACTCTCACCCTCTCCATTCCTTAATTTCTATTTATCAATCAGTCACTTACTTCATTGAGATTCGAACCTCAGACGCCTGCTTGATACACGAGACTCTTAACCGCTAGGCCGCGCACGATCCCTGTTGCAATGATCAATCTTTTGGCGTATTTGAAGTATCCATTGTAATAAACTAAATATTCATGAGAAAATAAATATTCATAATGACGTATTGCACTATCATTGGCCGGCTCATGCGACGTCATGGTTATCGATGTCATGCATATAACGTACCGCTGTTCCAGACACTTCAATCAGTTTTGACCGGCTAGCTGCTTCAACTCAGATCTGCACTACATGTGCATCCAAAATGTGCTCTAAAAACACATTTTTACTAAATTTTATTCGCATGTCCGCTGTTTCCTGGATTCCTCTTGGTTGAAATCACAAGGTGAGGTGAAAATTTATTTGTTTGGCGGCAGGTAAGTGGTGATCGGGTATGGATTTTTTCCAGACTATGCTGCTGCTGCTGCTTTTTCGGCCACTTTTTGTGACCTATGTGACCTACCTTCCCACTTTTCAGACCAGTCCCATAGGGTTTGTGCACAGGGTGACGAGTGATGGCCAGATACGGGAATCTTTCCAAAAACATTTCCAAATCCGTGTTCATTGGTTGATTATTGTCTTGTATATATTAAATTATTTTCTTGATTTCCTTCATATTTAAATCTTGTGTCTGTGATAAATTATTTTGCTTCTTTTACTTGGGTAGGTCAGCAAGCCCAAACTAAATTTCTAGACTTTTCTGGTCTAGACGTGAAAGTTAGTAAATACTAGACTCTCCATAGACTTTGTACACAACCACTGAAGAAGCGTCAAGTTGCAACATTCTTTCTAAAAATTTAACCTGTGCCTTTTTTTGGTGAGAAAAAAAACTCAAAATTGTCCCTAAGGTTAGTTTGATTTTTTAAGACCAAGGCTTTACCAGATTACCCGCTCAGGCATTTCAGAGGAAATTTTAAGAATTATTTACAAAGGTTCTCCCGACCTTGTACGGAAATTGTTTATTTTAATATGTTTTATTGTCCTCAGATGAGACTGACCTTTTGCATATCATGTTGAGGCTGAATTGGACCAGACCAGTGCTTAGAATAGGCATAGCAGGCTGGATGACCATCACCATGGTGACTGGGATGACCTTAAGGGTGAGTCAAACCAAGAATACAACCTGCTCCATCAAAACTCATCACAATGTGCACCATTAAGAACCTCCTTTATAAATGACCAGAATTCTCCCAATTGATTCTTGTGAATTGGAGTTTTGTCCTCAACATTCTGATTGAAAGAACTTTGATACTTTTACCTGACAGTATCACGGATAAAACATGTATTGTAATTTGAAGAGGAATGAAAAATGAAAATAATATCTCAGCAATGGTCATGGCAGTCATTTTTGAAAGACCGAGAAATTAATAGTTTCCCTTTTTGATTGATTACTGTGTGATTTGATATACATAAACATAAACAAAAAAGAAATTCCATTTGTGTAAACTGTCACCCCACACCCACAACGTCACTGTAAGACTTTCGTGCTCACATTCGCCCTCGGAACAAATGCCCCAACGCATCGTTGCAACAGCTTTTACAAACTAAACTTTTCCATTGATAAAATGCCTTTTCCAAATTAAAATGCAAGAAAATATGAGGACGAAAATACACGGTTTTCAACTTTGAAGTACACAGTAAGTTAAAATTTGTAAAAGCTATTTGAAATTGAGTTATTTGGAAAAAAAAAAATTATCTTAAACACTTTTCCTCAAATACATGTTATTTGATACAAAATGGATTTCAAGGACAAAATTCTCGTTTTATATCTAGACTTTTTTTTAAATCAAAATTGTACCATTTTTTTAAAATAAAAATATGCACTTGAAAAGGGTTCTTTATTTACTGCTTACTGCTAGGGCCAAAAACAGGAAAAAAAAATGACACGGGTTGGGATTAATAGTGTATTCTTCTGTAATTTGACATTTCCCCAACCCCCTAATTACGACTAGTGTCCCGCCCACAAAAGAGGGAGTATTTACTTTGCCATTTCCAGTAGACAACCCCACCCACAAAAAGGTAGGGGAAAATGGGTATTCAATTGTGTACTCTTGATTTGGTACCACAAGCCAACTGACTATTGGTATGCTTACAGTGACTTTTTAGTAGTAACCATTTGCTGGAGTATATGGTCCCTCCATTTGCTGAGTTGCATCTCACCTATGAAACGCTGGAGCTGGTCATTGCACTGCAGCCATAGTTGAGACAAGACTATCCCTTCCTGGTGATTCCTGACCGGCTCATCACCGTCCATTCCCTCCCCATACCTCCACCCTTCCTCCCGCCTCTACCCATACCCCCCCCCTTACCCATACCCCCCCCCCCTACCTTCCCTACCCTCCCCTACCTTCCCTACCCTCCATCCCCGCCCTCATCCCATGTCTATGGTCACTCACTGCACGCACGCACGCATGCACTGTTCCACATCTGCCTTTCCTCCATCCTCTTTCCTTCCTCTCCACTCCTCATCTTTTCTTCTGTCACTCACACGCACCGTTTCATATCTACCTTTCCTCCTCCCTGCTTCCTTTTTCCTCTCTTTTCCACCCCTTCCATCTCTAGCACGCACCATCTAATTTCTGCTCTCCCCCCCCTTCCGCATTCACTAACATGGGATCATGACAGCTACCTTCCCGGTGGTGATCCTGTTAAGGGAAGCTTTCCTTTTAAAGGGAAATTTCCTGAACTAAAGCTGTCAAATAGGGGATGCTAGTACACTGGATCATTTTATCAACTTTAATCTCCATTAAGTCTTTATAATGGAGATCGATGGTGATAATTTCATGTTGCATTATGCAATTTCGTATTGAAACAAAAGAAAGTTCCCAATTTGAAATACACTTGAAAAATGTTGAGCTTGCAGCATTTTACACACAAAATATAAGGAAATTTTGTTATTGACTTTTATCTGAAAATTTTACTTAATT